TAGAGGATCTTGCCAACGGAAGATGACACACAAGACTCACCTGATTCGAAGGGCATCGTAGGCTGGAGAATCGGATACTTCGCTCACTCCACGGCGATTGCTCCTTTTCTACCCTGGAGAACAACCTGGCGAACATATATGGTCATTCCTACGCAGCGCCTAGCCAAGAAAAGGGCAACCTTTCCCTCTCAAACGCGAAACCACAAATTCACAAGGAAAACACGCACCCAAGAAAGAAACAAGGAAAGACCTAGTGGACAGTACAGCAACTAGCACCCAACCTCGATCTACCTCGGGTCCTAGTAAAATCCGAACGGGACCTATCAACGAACAAAACCACACACGCCGTCCCTCCACCGAACGCAACACGTCGTAAATGAGAAATTGGACATCTCCGTATGCCCCGCGACATTCGGAGAAGTAGTCAAACTTCTTGCGCTCGTGTTTCATTCGATCAAGAACATCCGACCGCGCCTCGTCTCTTTCATTCGGTCGCAGCTCTGAATCTTCCCACAATTTGCACTTGCCATCCTTGTCCTTGCACTTCTCTTCCACAAGGAAGTCGCGCGCCTCGTCCTCACATGAGCCCGTAACCGTCTGCATGTCCTGAAAAGCCTTCCGGGCAAGTTTGAATTTTCAACACAAACCACCTGAAAAAGATAACCTACCTACTCCTTCTTGAAAGTGATACGGCGTACGCACATTATAAATACTTCATAATATTTTCAAACGTGAGTATTAATAATAGTTCTCGTAAATGGATAGCTTGATTTATTGAAAATCAAAGAATGTGTACCTGGTTTTGAATTTGATGCAAAGTAGGAATGAGTAATTGATTATGTCCACTAGTTTTATATTTTATATTCCCAAAACTTTAATATAAAAAACAAAAATTGAGTTTCAACACATTCGCCTTTCTTAGAATTTTTGCTTGGACAATTCAGTGCTTGTCTTTTTGAACCTTGCATTTCATTTCTGTCATTTATTTCACAAATTTTTCTTAAGATAGACTAAGGTAGCAATATTACACGTTATATATGGTGACATATTGTTACGAGAAGTTTGATATATATATATATATATATATATATATATATGTAAGTTTCAATTTCAAAATATGAACACGTGAAGTTCAGGTGACATAGATTGAATTTTTTTTTTCGGAACCAAATCCTTTTATATTCTTTCGTATATTCCTATTTTTTCCTCGTTTCTCGATAACGAAAGTTTTAATTAAGTAAGTATAATATACCTCTTTTCTCTCAATGTGGAGAATTACGTGATATTGAAAAAATATATCTAAAAAGCATGAAAAACTCACCAGGACTTTTATATTCTTAAATGGTACTCTCATTCATACACAACTTGGAAAAAGTTACATTACCGGTCAGAAAATTGATAACTCTATTGTCAATTGTATACCACATCCAGATCATGAATGCCTTTTTAACACAATGACCATTTCAACAACAAACAAAGAAAATTCCCTTGTATCAACTTGTTCAAGGGTACCGATTATGAAATAAGGATAGTTTTTTACAATGAATATAGAATTTAGGTCATGATCTACACAAGTTAAGATTATAGGAAAAGAGATATACCAAGCAGATTACCATAGCAAAAGAGTTGTGAACTCTTTTGCTCTGGTAATCTGCTTGGTATTCCCCAAAGACAAGGTGAGCTTCTATGTCAAGAAGCTATATCTCCACCCTTCTATCTACAATTCTCCTCAATTTTACACCCCTTTTAATTTCTTCTTTCGGTATTAAAATAAGAAAACCACCTTCTTCATTGTAGGGCTACATATAAATGGATGTGTCACTCATTATATCTTTAGAGTGTCACCCTTGTCATACTGATAAAGACGAGGTCAGTTATTAGTTTTTTATTCTCGTTGAGTTGAATATGTGAACGACTTCTGTGTGTCCATGGATCGTGTAGTACGTACTAATTGTAGCACAAAAAAAGAGGCGAGGCTTTATAGATAGAGGAATGCACAACATATTGAATAAATACTGTGGCTGGATGACTATCGTAAAAGGAAGAGAAGACTGTAACAAAAAAAATTATTTATTTTTGTGAGGAATCTGGTGTCGAGAAGAACGAGGAGATGGATGATCAAACAAGCGTTCCAACAAAAAGCAAGCTGAAAATTGGTTACGACAAGTTACACGAAGGTCGGTCAGGAAAGAAAACATGCCAATGAGCTTGGCTGTATTCATTCAAAGTTTCTCCGGAAGAATCAATTTACATATCACGAAATGATTTCTCAAGTACTCGGCGGCTATCTTTTCTATGCTGTACTGTGGCGCAGGACTGAGGAAAAATGATTGTAAGATTCCTACTCTCCACCAAGTCCAAACAATATCGAAAGCGCATTGAAAAGAGATAAGGAAAGAGACCACAAGATTGGAGCCCGGGCCGAAATAGCAACGGAGAATCATTTTTGATTATTGGACTTCTGGTGGGATGTGAAGTTGCGAAAATTGTTGGGAGAGGTCTTTGGCGTAAAGGGGTGAATAAGTGGAGAGCTGAGCTGATCTCATGGGGCCGAAAAGAGCATGGACCCGAGAAGGCCGAGGAGGCCTAGGGGCAAAAGAGAGCGATAAAGGGGGACGCAATCCACGAGCAGATCCTCGAGGCCTGCCCGAGTATCTTTGAGCCTCCAGATCTTGTCGAAAAATCGATGAATGGTCCATGCAACATGGTGGAAAAGTTCATGATGTGGCATTATTTAAATCTTGGCTCGTAGATGTAGCTCGTAAGCTTCCCAATGCTTCAAAGTTTGAAGATGATGTACTCCATGGATATGCACTTGTAAGATGGTGGATCTTGCTGTCTTCTAGCACTGTGAAGGCGGCATATATTTTATGGTTTCCCAAGCCAAGGGAGTTAGATACATGAGGTGCTTAATAGGATTAAACACCTCATTTATCTATCCCAAAGTCCAAATCATTTACGTGAAATCTCTCACCAAATGTATATATAATCATATCTATAGATACATACAATATATAAGCATATTAGAAAAGTAACAAAAAAAGAAAGTAACGAGTTTTCCAGGTGAGACGTTTTTTTCTTACAATATCGAGGGATTTACTTAACCATATATCATGTTTGCGTAAAGGTGAGACTATTCAGTGGCCATAACCTAGGATAAGTTCTATAATGGTTTACAGCTTCCAGACATACCAGGGAGTTCTAAGCAGGGCATATAATTGCCAGATACAAAAGAAAGAAGGAACGGCGAGATGATTTTGGAACTTCAAAGATCATGTACGAAGGAAGTGAAGGAAAGGGGAGTGAATAAAAAGGGGCTCTTGTTGAGAACGTGAGGCTTATGTGTGAGCGAGGGTCAATTGCCAATAATTTGTGCCTTTTCCTCCCATCAATGTACTATGAACTCCACCACATCTTCATAGACACTTAAGGGGAGGGGTCACTTTTGCAATGACGATGCATCTGAGCACTCGAGGGCGCACCACTACACGCCATCATCACAATCGTCCTCAGCCTGAACATAACCAATTGCAGTTCGATCTCATATTCCTGTGTTCGGTCGAGATGGACATGCTGGTCTCATCGAATCTGCTGATCCCACATACTCCAAGCTGAAACCTAGTTTGAGAGCGAAGGTAATGCAACATCCATTCGTGACAACATGTTTGATTGATTCTGCACCTCAATATCCGCTCCCTCACCCTCACCCTCGCCCTCCCCACTCCTTGTCGAGGCTGGGATACAGTGATCTGACCCACGCTTCCCTTCAGCAGCAAGCAGCCGATGATGAGGAAGACGAATGAATGGGATCGATACTGGGTTACAAATGATCACTCGTCCCACCCAAAACCTGGTGCAGTAATACACCGAATGATGATGGTGCAGCAGAACTGTCACAGGATACTCAACCGAGTTCCCATGACACAAATATTTGCCACCCTTTCCCTCTAACGTGGCTATCAAGTTACAGATTCCGTAATAGTCATTAAACAATTGGACATCTCAGCCCTGGACTGATTTCCCTATCATTGCGGACGATAGCGAGGCAGTTTGACTGTGCGAGTAAAACGAGATCCCGGTCAAATGCATGATACGTTCGCAACCAGCAGAGCGAGGGATCGAAGAATACTCGGATGCAGATGCGAGAGGGGAACAATGGTTACTCCGCTGAGCAGCACTCGAGGGGAGTAAAAGTACCGTAAGTGACCGGGAGGGAATAAAGGGGAGGTAGGGGGGGAATATGCTCCAGGCCAGAGATGGATCATGTCGCCAATAAGCACACCGAAAAGCAAACTCTTGTCAAAACGAGCGGTACCAGCGCAGAAGAAAGAGTGAGGAGAATGATGCCAAAGGAAAGGCAGAGGCGACGGCGTTTGAAATCCCGTCGGTCCACGACAAGGACAGGAGAGCCGATCTCGAATACCGGACGACACTCTCACGACTCGCAGAGTCATAAATTGCGAACGCGGTTTATCGCGCGAGAAAACCCTCCGTCGCTGCCCGAGAAGTTACCGACGGCCGGCCAACCTCGACGGCCGGCAGATGAGGGACCCCGCCTCATCTGAGGCCTCCGTCCGTTCCCCCGTCCGTCCGTCCGTCGGGCGGGCGGGCGGGAAGGCGGAGGCGAGTTGAGGAAGGGAGCGGGAGCGGGAGCCGCGGGCGCGGGCGCGGGACCGTGCCGCTCACTGGCACGACCGCGCGGTTTGCGCCAGCGGGCAGCGGACGACGAAGGGGCCGGGGAGGGGGAGGGAGAGAGGGGCGCGAGAGCGGGAGAAGCCGTGACCCTCTTGACGCTTTGTGGCTATGGCGGAAGGAAGAGCTGAGGTGAGCTAAGCTAGCGCTGGGATGGGGGGAAGGAGGAGGAGGAGGAGGAGGAATGAGGTGAGTGACAGCAGCTGGCGCTCTGTGCCGCGATGGAGGTGGGGCCGGGCGCGCGAGATCGGAGTGAGGCCCGGCATCTCGCTCGCATCCACTTTCGTGCGGGCCGAGGCGAGCGAGAGGCGAGGGCCGGGAGAGTGAAAAGTTCGTGTTTCGGTCTGTTGGGGCCAACGGAAGCGATCGCCACCGGGAGCCGATCGATTTCGGGATCGGGATCGCGGAGGGACCCGAAGGCGACCCACCGCCTGACCTCTTCTCGGAAGAAGATATTGTGGTGGGAGCGCGGACGAAAAAGAAAGCCTGCAGCAGAAGCAGCAGCAGCAGCGAGCGGGTGAGCAGGAGAAGGAGGAAGAGGAATTTCGATAATGGGATGCGAGTTGGGGGGGAGTAAGCTGAGCTGAGCTGAGTTGTGAGTTGTGAGTCGAGTTGAGTTAATGCGAGCACGAGAGTTGGAGTGCCAAATCGGGCATCATCCCATCCCGCACAAGAAGTGCTCAGCGCCGGGGGCTCCGCTGCCCGAGCCTGTGAGAACGCGCTACTGCTTCTTCTCGGCCTGCCTGTGTGCCACCTCGCACTCGTTCCTCTCTCTCTCTCTCTCTCTCCCTCCCTCTCTGTCCGTCTCTCTCTCTGGGGCCTCGCCTCGCCTCCCGCTAAGCGGCCTCTGACATTCATCTCTCACTGTCTGTCCCTCTCTCTCACACAACAACACTCTGAGCTTGTCTGACTGACTGTCTTCACCTTCCACGCTCCCTCCCCTCTTCTTCCGCACCCGTCTTGTAGTATCATCAACACGCCCTCCCCTCCCCTCCTCTCTCTCTCCCTCTCCCTCTCCCTCTCACTCTCCCTCCTCTAGCTCTCTCTGCCTCCATCTCTCCCTCTCGCTCCCCCGTGTCACCTCCTCATCTCCTCGCCTCTCCTCTCCTGGTCGCTCTATCTCGCCCCTTCTTCAATCGTCTGTCGCGCATTAGCTCTCCTCCTATCCCAGTCTCCTCTCGCCTCCCTCTCCAGTCGGTCTTCTTCCTTTCTGACGCGCACACGGACCAGCATTGCGCGGACGAATGGCGGGGGACGGTGATGTGCTGTGATTGTTTAAACTCGGTACGTGATTCTTCGCTCGGATGCTAGCGAGCGAGCGAGCGAGCGTTGGTTGTGAGCGAGTGAGTGGTCGAGTGGGTGGGGGAGTGAGCATGAGCTTCGCGGACGGCATAGTGAGAGATGTTTCGGCATTGGTAATAGTGTGACCAGAGCGGGAATTTTAGCTGCTGGTCGCCTCTGTGTCGGCTCCCGACTGGGAATCGCGGAGATTTGCATCGTCCCGCTTGTTCGCTCCATCGGTGTCGTTCTCGCACGCGGACCTCATTCTCGCGGTGTTGAGCGCGCGCACTACGGAGAATGAATGTTCGAGTAATCTCGGCAGATCGGCAAACTGAAAGCATCGATCTCTGATTCCTGTGTGGCACGGAGTGGTCTTCCTTCTGGAAGTTGTCGATAGTAGCTGGCTCCTTCGTGTTGTAAGCGGTTCAAGTGTTCTTCAGACTCTCTCTCTGCGTCGTGGATCATTGAGGAAGTATGGAATCGTGCGTTCAAAGCTAGATCTGGACGATCTACGTTGTGTAGTGGGCTTAACTGTCAGTGCCATTGCTAGCAGGCAATGGTAGAATACATGGCTGCACGTCACATTCATGAGGTTTCCTGCGTGTTTATCTTTGCACGTTCCCATCTTTGTCGCGGGGAAGGGGCTAATCTGTGTGGATTGCACTTTGAAAGAGTTCTTGTAGTATATGATTGTTGAGTTAGAGAGTGCTGCTATGGAGCTGATCTTCGCAAAGCTAAAGAGCTTCAGTGTGTGCCGTCGACTCTAGCTGTCAAGTGCCATTGTCTTGGTCTTGTGGAGAACCTGGCTTTTCCTACTTAGAAATACGGTCGGGTTTGATATGTCTTCGTAGCTTTCTGTTGTGAGTTTGCACGCGTACTTCCGAATCAATTCACGCTGAGCTGTTCTTAAGAGTGTAGTTCATCACATAATCTGTCATCTATCTCTGCCGCAGGTCTTCATGGAAAGGGAACTTGCCTTTTGTGCAAAGCTTGTGCTTGCGAACTTGTGGGGACAGTGATATTCCCGTCAGTACTCTTTACCTCGGTACGTATGTCTGCGGAAGTCAGCCTTGCGGAAGTGTCAAGCTGACTTTTGGGTTGTAATGTCTATGAACTATTTTAAGTAGTGCTTATGGAGGTCTTCCAACTCCAGCTCGTCCCCGAAATGTCGCCCTTTTCCTATATATAGTCTTGAAATGTTCTACATTTTACTGGTCTTGTCGTGCTTGCCACTTCCTCCGCAGACCCGTCACCCCGCAGTATCACGATCAGTCTGTCCCGTAACTGCATGCATGTCGTTTTCGCTCCGATGTTTGTCAAATAGGCAATCGGGTAGTTTCCTTCGTGGTTAGGAATTTTCACCCATACGCATCTCACGTCTTTGAATGTCATGCAATCTGAAATCTTCGCCCTCACCCGACACTCCAGCATATTCTCTTTTTCGTCGGATTACGCCTGACGTGCTTTCGTATCTCTCTAGCAGGTGATTGGTACTTTCGATGGCATACGCGTCTCCATTTCACGAGTGAAACCTTGTTGATTTTAATGATATTGGATATATGAAATCTATCAGCGCCTTGGCTGCTTAAATTCTTGGATTTGACGGCTGCTCGGATTTGAGACCTGCATCAGTGCAGTGTCCCTTATCCTTGCAAAGTGAGATGCTTCACATTCTATCGGATCGTTGACACCTTGTACGAACAGCTCAGGAAACCGATACTCAGTTTCTACCCACTCTTTCTCAAGCAGAGGAAGAGTGACAGTCTTACGCGTTCCGTAAGAAGATGAGTGAAGCCGGAGGAAATGAGCAGGACGTTACCTCTGTTGCCAGGACTCTAGATTTCTCCCTGGCTGAAAGCGGACATCCAGACGGGATGAATGTCGATCAGGCCGTAGAATTGGATACTGGTGAAGCTGGAAACTCGGTGGCTGTTCACCATGACGACGAAGAAGAAGAAGACGGAGGTGCACTTCAAAATCTCGAAGAAGGTGGCGAAGAGAAGGGCGAAGAGAAGCATGTAATTAGTCATGGGGCAGAGAAAGCGGAGCATCTCAATGCCTCGAGTCTAAGAGAGGATGAATTTCAGAAACTTTTACTTCTGGCTGAAGAGTTCGAAGCAGATGAAAAGACCGGAGATGATGGCGAAGATACAGGGAACATGGAGGGAGTTGATGAAGGCAAGGGAGATTCTGGCAACAAGGAGGACCGTGATGGCAAGGTGAAGAATACACCTTGCCTGGCAGAATCTTGATGCATCCTTTTTGAATCTCAGCCCCACATCACGCAGTGAAGGAGCAATGCTTGCCACACTGGACCACAGCTGAAATTTACTAACCCCACTCGTGCTCTGTGGCCACACAGGGCCTTGCTCTCAAGGTGAAACCAGGCGCTGGAAAGACTCAGAAGACAGGAGCCGCACCTAACAGGAAGGGGCCAACGCCTGTTGCCAGAGTTTCCAAAGTCCGGCCGTCTACTGTTCCAATTACATCGGGCAAGAACGACAAGACAGAAATAGATGGAACTCCCAAGCGAAAGAGGCACGGAGAAGAAGGCGCAGTTGATAGTGAATCGCGTTCTCTGCCCACTACGCCCTCTGTTAATCGCACCAGCAATGGAACGCGGAAGTTAACTGTTCCGCAACCATTTGCATTGGCAACTGACAAGAGAGCTTCACTTGGGGGCCGACCAACGGATGGTGACTTGGCATCCAGGCTTGCCTTGCCGTCTTTGAAGAAGGTAATACATTCGCCGCCGCGTGCTCTGTTTGTCTGTACTATCTTCCTGGATTGTGCCAGTCACTGGAGTTTACACTCTCACATTGTGCCTGAATTGTGAGTTTCAATCTAGCACTGTGCCCAGGAAGTCAAAAGTTTGAATTACCGAGTCGAGAGAAACATCACGAATAATTTTTCTTTGTGTCGTTCACAGGCCCCTGCCCCAGCTAAGTTAACATCAAAGCTTTTTACGAAGCCATCTGAGGGCCCTAAGTAAGTGTACATTTCGCTGCTGTCTAAATTTATATCTGTCACTTGTCTCGATTGTTTGTCGAGTGCTTCCGTACCTGGTTTGTGGTACCACTTTTGAAGAGAAAGTTCTTAGGTCGCTCCGAGAGTATTACGATGAACTTTTCCTGGAGTCTGTCGGTTCTACGCCGTGACGTTGGGCAGATGAATCAGTATCCACGTGTGTATGACCGTGTTTCGAAGTATGATGAGGAAGCTGCTTAGGTTGTAAATGTGTGACGTTTGCAGCGAGGTTCACCGATGTTCTCGCTCTGAGAGAACATCGGTGACGTTCCATCTACTTTATACACCTTTGTTTGGGTTGGTGGGGTTTAACCTTAAGTGTCTAAAAATATCTTTGGTTGTGATCCAGGCGATATGAACAGGGCACAGGTAAGGTGAAGAATGCAACTTCATCTTCTGAGGATGATCCCCGGTCCGGATCTCTACCATATCCTGCACTGAAAATTAAAGCAAATCAGCCCCCTGTGACGAGTGCGAGCAGTTTCCAATTCAAGTGTGATGAGCGTGCAGAGAAGCGCAGGGAGGTGAGAACAAAGCTTTACATAGTTAATTATTTCCCTCTCTTTCTCTTCTGCTTCCGGTTCGGCGTATTTGTAATGTCCATCTCACACTTACCACGAAAAAATGACGATCTTTCTGCGAAATGTGCAGTTCTATAATAAACTTGAAGAAAGGCTAAGCGCCAAGGAGGCCGAGAAAACGCAGATTGAAGCCAAGACTCAGGTTAGACTCAATGAAGCTTCGAGTCTCTTCCGTTCGGATATTCGTGTACTAGGATGATATAAATGGAGAATTTTTACGTAGTGGAGTGTGGACAATTAGTCATGCTCAGGGGACTGAAGTTGTTCCGTTTTCAAAAGAAGAGGTCTTTCTATTGCAACATGTCTCCTGTTTCTTGTAAAATTCATCTGCTACCCTGTGTATGTAGTTATTTTTGAAGAGTGGCTGCTAGCTTTTTGTTGAGATATTGCTCACGTCCTCTCTGCAGGAAGAGATTGAAGCCAAGATTAAGGAGCTCCGAAAGAGTCTAACTTTCAAAGCTAATCCCATGCCGAGCTTTTACCAGGAAGCCCCACCCCCGAAAGTCGAGATCAAGAAGGTTGGTGAAATTTACTTTGGTCGAAATCTGGATCGCAAACTGAGAATTGCACGTACGAGATGTCCTTCGTGTGTTATATGTGACTGGAGTGTACCTCTCTCTGATACCTCTACCTGATTGCTTCAGCCCATTGTGAGCTAATGCATTAAGCTTCGATTGGTTTGCACCATTTTTTCCAGATTCCAACGACACGTGCGAAGTCTCCTAAGTTGGGTACATCTCGGCGTAGCAGTGGTGTAGGGACTATGATGGAGGATGCCAGATCCTGTAGAACTAGTAGAACTGATCTTGAACACAAATTAAATGGCCTCAGTGACGATGGTCAAAATAAGGACATCAAGAAAGCCCTGAAAAAGCCGTCAGCACTCACCAAAGCTCTAAGCGACAAAACGATGAGATCTGCCAAGAGTAACGGAAGACTGGACAACTCCAAAGCTCAGGCAGCTGCTTCATCTGGGGTCGGTGAGACTGATGCCAAACCGAAAGAGAATAAAGTAACTGTATCGGACTCGGCTGGGGATAGTGATGAAGGCAAGACTAACAATGCCGAAGCTGCTCAGGACACCATCAAGGATGATGCAGCACCCGTTGGTGATTCTGTGACCAGTGACGGCAGTAACGGACTAAATGAGAAAGATGGCAGCGGTGGAGCGAGCGAGAAGGCCAGCCGACCTTCCCAATCGTCCTCGTCCTCTGCATCGGAAGAAGGGAAAGACAAGATTGTGAAGACGACGAAGCAAAAATTGAAAGCCAGCACGCCCACACTTAGCAGTGCCGCCAAGCGTGAAACACCTATTAAGCATAGTAGCAAGAACAGTACCGAGATAGCTCACAGCGCTGCCGATGTGGCTGTTGCATCATAGGCCGAGGTAATTGCACCCTTGAGAGATAACCAGGCAACCATGCGAACGTGGCTGGCACATCGTTCCACGTTGCCCCTTGTGCACTGACAGCTTCTGGTGTTGCAATCTTTGCTTGCTCCTTTGCCAACAGGGTCGATCTAGCTTCACACCAGGCAGAAGTGCGTATCTGGTGAGCAAGGCTGCAACGTCATCAGAAGCAGCAGCTGTGTTAAAAGCTTCTACTGCGTTACTATGAGTTGTTTGTCTTTCCTGTTTGTTGGAGAAGGAAGTGTGGAAGAGAGAGTAGTGGTTTTTTTGCAGCAGTGAGACCCATAGCGAGTAGAAGGGTCAGCAGCAGGTTGAATTTGCAGTCGTAACAAATATAATGTATACTTTCCAGGACTACCCAGTTTCTTGTCAAATCCAGCGTGAGAGAAGTAATGATGTCTTCAGGGCGACTCGTCTTTGGCAGCTTAGTAGCTTTTCTAACGGTCGTGTTGCCTGTCCTCACGATCAAGTTGACTAATCAAGCCCTTGACTCTTGGCCTACTGCCCAAGCGTCATGATGTGCGATTTTCCTGACATATGGCATTGCATGTGATGCTGTAAATAAATATATTTTCATGACAAGGCTCTATCCTCGGTGTAAGGGGCCCTGCATCCTTCTTCTCCACTCGGCTTCGACTTTGCGTCGCCGAAGCTCTCGAGACTCATCCTGCCGAGCGCTCCGCCACGCCTCCTCCTCCTCGAGGGTCGGTCGATCAAATGCAGTGGCGGTTCGGGACGGAGGGTAGCCCGAGCACGTAGGATTGTAGAGTTCAAGTCAGTGTGGAATCGCCGTCGTCCCGGACCTACGCACGATCCGTGCAGAGTCGTGCGTGGCTCGACGAGAAGCGTAGCAGAGGACGTGATCGAAAGAGTTCTTCGCTCGTGCCCCCACCCCTCCCCCGCCCCGAGCGGGCAGCTCGTCTCGTCTCCCGTGCAGGCCGACCCGGGATCGGGCCCGGCCTGCGGACTGTGGGAGTGAGTCGCTAGTCGAGTGTCCGAGGTGGCAATTAGGTCGCTAGATAGAGCGGGTGAACTCCGGGTCGTTTAGGAGCCTGGTACCGATGTAAGCGCGCAGGCGCTTGTATAACGCCGCGAGGCCTGCTTTGTAAGAAATCGATATCAATTCTGCACGACGTCTTGTGTCCACGTGATCTGCTGACTGGCCCTGACTCCTGACTCCTGACACCTGACCCCTGACCCGGCTTCGGGCGTTACTCTTGTCTCCCTCCACCTGAGCCCTGACTCGCTGATGTCGTCGACCAACCCAGCCCAACCCAGCCCCATGCGGCCCCCGGCACCCTGCCGTTCATCCGCCGTGTTGGCCGACGTCATCTCATCCTGACACCTGCGCAGCGATTCACGCGGCCCCATACACGACGATGTGGTTCGAACCTCTCACCCGTACATCGACCCTCGAGTACACTTCGAAATTCTGGTGTGACAGAGACGTGGCTGGTTGTGGTGTTGCCCGAAGCACGTGCAAGTGACAGGACCCTCAACAATCAAGGTCTCGCGCACTTGAGGGTGTGCTTTATCGATTCGGCGGGAGGTTTCGAAGTCCGATCGTTATCCATGAGATTCAAAGATGGTGACGATTGCCCCACCGTTCTCCGTATTGCAAATAACCCTGCAAGTTCCTCGTACTCGCCATTTCTCGTCATTACACCAGTGGCAAACTGCCATCGTATCTGTATGTGGTACAGTGGGATATCATTCTAGTTGCAGGCTCTCTGATCTGCCGTTGACGTTCGTAAGTCGCGTCGTATGGATTTTGAACACATCATTTGATTGGATGATCCGATATTGAGCTGTTCACAAGAGTACACTGACGCAATTATGACATTGCTACAAGACTCCTGAACCGGATGTTCTGAGTAGCACACCTTACTGTGTAACATGTAACATGGACGTTAAGCTAAATCTACCTGCACCGTGCACGTTGCAAAGTTATTGGAGTCTTCAATGTGCAACATCGTATTTGTTTCCAGTTCTGGATAGAAAAGGTTGTCTTTTAAATTTTGTTTTGCAAGTGGACGGACGAATGGAGTACATTAGTATGTCCTTGCACTAAATGCAACGATTCAATTTTCATTACATATGCAGGTTATATTCGAACTTCTTTCTTTGTTGGTCCTCTAAGATATACACGAAGGGAGAAACATATTTCACAAATTAAGAGCTAAACATTGATAGAATGTCAAATATAAATTGTGGAACATTTAATCTATGTTCGATAATAGTTAAAATTTTAGTTGGGCATAGTAGAAGGAGTCGTATATGAGCTACGCGATAATAATCTACTACATGTGTGGTAATGTTGCCATGGATCGTTCTGATTGTCTACGTCAAAGAACCACCAAACTAAGCACTAAATGTACAAGAATTGTGTCTGATACTATCATTCCTTTGTTTACATAATCCTTTCGAATAATTGAAGGCGAGTTGAACAGGACTCAATGAATAGGAATTTATATATAAGAGTGGGGACCAAGTAATATTGCCAAAAAAACATAAACTGGTTAGATCCCATCAAGCCCAGAGGGTAATGTGGGATAATGAATCCCAAGGAATCATTTCTAATACATCTGTTGGACAAGCTCTTAACACTGAGTACAACCAATACATACTCCAAGGGGGTTATGAATGCCACGAGCAACCAAAAAATCATCACTTAACACGATCGGGCTACCCTAAACTAACCTAAGGATCGACTCTCATACATCACTTCGTTATGATTCAAGTGAACTGCGACTGGCAGAAGACCAACTGAATATTCTAAAGTACAGTATTGAGTTTGTATTATACATCTCTTTCCACTTGCCCCCCTACTTTCCACTTACTAAAAACATTTGAGTCGGGAATTGTTTGCCCTTCAGAACGAGAAGAATTCGAATAGAGCACAGGACGTATCGAGACACAGGTTTCAGAGACAGTCATAAAAGGCATCATTGGTTGACAAAGAAGCCAGCACTTATTGAGATATGGCACAATAAAAGTAGAATTTATCGGAGATTCCGTTGCCGGGACTAGAACCCGGGTCGCTCGGGTGAGAGCCGAGTATCCTAACCAACTAGACTACAACGGATGATGCACTGTGTCTTGAAGAATTAGAATTAGAAAAGAATTTTTTATTTTAATGTACGTATATTCTGGAAAAGGAGATAAATTAGGATTGCGAGCTGACCGGTGCAGGCGGTGGAGGCAGGCTTCGGGAAGGGCCTCGGACATTCGAGGAGCGCGAGCGAAGTCCGACGCGTGCTCTCGAAGAGAGGAGGAGCTGACAAAGCGTCGTTGGCCGAGAGCCGAGAGCCGTGATCCGTAGCACCAGCTCCAGCTCCGCTCTCCGTCGCGCGCCTGTGCTCTGTAAGTGGACACGTCGGCTGCCTCTGCTGCCTCTGCCGGTCGGCTCCCGGCGCCTTTCGTTGTCTCCATCGTCGTGACTTCCTCGTCAAGCCATCGCCCGTGCCACTCCCCATTTCCTCGCCACCCCCGCGTAATCGCATCTCGACATTCCTCTCTTGCCTTCTCGTCTGTCGAATCTTGCTCCTGATGTCTAGCGTCGTCGCCTGCGTCAATCCCATGCTCGCGTGCGATGCTGCTCATTTGGCGAAGGCTGCCTCGCGAGTGACAGGTGAGGTCCTCTGGCACACGGCCTGAATTCGCTTTCGCTGCCCCTTTTTTGAGTTGAGGGGAATTGGGATTCCCCGGAGTGAGTCGCTGTCACTGCTTCTTGACTTTGAGGAAATTTTCTCATGAGGTGTGCTAGTTTGCGAGTCTTTGGCGTCGTTACAAAATTGGCCATAGATGCAAGCTCCGTGGAGACTGTTGCTGAGAAATCGTAAGCTTGTTTTCTTTCTGATTTATCTTGGTTTGCCGGCTTGGCTTGGCGTGGCCTCGAGTGGGAACTGAAGATTGTGGAGGGCATTAGGTTAATTCGTTGTAACACTTCGTGTCCTAGGCCAAATGCCCAAGCGAAGCATACAAAATTTAATTATCCGACTTTTGTCCAGGTGTTAAGGCGATTGCGCTCGGGAACAGTGGAATTACACGCCTGGAATCTCTCTGTAGACAAAATCGTCTCTTAGGTTGTGAGTCAAGCAGATTATCATCTAGCATTATTCGTGGTGCGAGAGTCATGGGTACAACTTCGTCCGCTTCACAGGGTCTTCCTACCCCTGTGGCCCAGGAGGTTTCCAGCGGTGGTAGGTTTTCAAACTCGCTGTTTCTTGTGATGGTCCAATTTATAATCTCTAGAAACCTACGAGTTTCCAGGAGACAAAACGTTCGGAATTTGATATGGAATAAAGTGCCATGTAAATTGAAATCTCCAAAGGATTGCATGTGAGCTGTTTTTCCACAGTAGCACCTGTTTCTGAATTGTTCACATTCCAATTCCTGCAGAACAAGTAGACTTCAAATCCATCAGCGATTCAGAATGGCAGAAACGTCTGACGAGGGAACAGTTTAACGTCGCAAGACAGAAAGGAACCGAGAGGGCATTCACAGGGTGGGTTACCAGATATCTCTCTCCTGCCTTCATATCAGGGTCGCGTTTGCCTGCTTACCCCTGGACATGACGTCTCGTTTTCTCTTCTTTTGTGTCTGGTGAATATCTAGACCGCCTACTTCAAAGTGAGTAGGGTGCAAGTGATTCTAAATCGTTGATTATGTGCAGAGAGTACTGGAACACGAAGACTTCCGGAACATATTTGTGCGTATGCTGCCAGACACCACTCTTCGAGTAAGTAAATAAGCCTTTGTTTATGATCCACTTACAGCTGAGTTTTCTGATCAATTCTGAAGAAACGCACGGATGTGTACTGCGTAAAGAAATTTAAACAGTCTCCTAATGTCGTCCTGATGATGGCTGCCATTTTTTGCAGTTCATCTACCAAGTTTGATAGCGGCACAGGTTGGCCCTCATACTGGGAAAAAATTGGGGATAATGTGAAATCAGAAACGGATCGGTCCATTCCATTTATGCCACGAACAGAGGTGTTGTGTGCCAAATGTGATGCACATCTTGGGCATGTATTTGATGATGGTCCCCGACCTACTGGAAAACGTTACTGTATCAATAGGTAAGAGAGTCCTCTACTTGAGTCATACGCTTAGACCAAAATAGAGCTAAATGAAGTAAGATACTACTTGCAATTGAACTTACAATAGAATCTCTTTTTCTTCTCTTCGATCCTTTTCTTTTCTGGTTAATTGTTTTTCAAACTATCGTGTAGCTGGCATGCACAACGAATTCAATCCGCTCGTTTGCACTTTGTTGGGTGCACCATCTCGTAGTTCAAGCAAGAACACTAAGTTGCATACTTGGACCCTCTTACTTACTCTTCTTACGTGACTTTGCAGTGCATCTATCAAGCTGAAACCAGAAGAAAAGTGAAGCCACACGTGAAGATAGTCTATACTGAACGTCTTCAGTTGAGTAATTTGTGCATGCCTCAGAGACGGGAGATCTAGACTATTTTGAGTATATATTATACTTTAAGTCCTGTAAGTTCTTTGATGTTGTAAATTAAATTAAATTAATTTCTTGCACTCGTTTATGTCTACATGAGGACCGCAATATGTATCAATTTCAACCGGCGCATACTTCATGCTCCATCTTTATCAATTAGTAGTACAATTTCAGTATCCCAAGGCATGGATCGGAGGCACTCTATTAAAGACTGGGTGACAAAGCAGGTCCATAACCAAAAGGATTGGTTCTTTGCATCCAGTCATATTGGCTGATTACAGAACAGAAACTGAATTTCCTCCGTCCTTTCCGTTTGTATCTGGAGGTATGCTTTTCATTGACTACCGAATGAGCTTCGACCTTCATAGTGAACACGACTGCGTGGAAGGAGAAGTTTATGACTGCCGAATATATATTCAAGGACTAGGACAAAACGTTGGTTGAGAGAAGATCGGCGTCACTTTTTCGGTTGCATGTGATCATCTTTTGTGTATGGAAGTCTCTCTTCAAAGTCAACTATCCTAACTACAAATTAAAGCATGTTGGAACTTGAAACAACGCAAAAGCTTGTTGGCATTGCGCAGCAGGAATGCTCTTTGTCCTGGAGTGAAAAGCAGTGATCAAGCAAACATGGTTTGTCACTGGTTCTAGATATGACTGTTCCCCTGAGCGTACTAGGTGTACAGTTTACATCTGACTATCTCGCCAAGTACTATGTAAATGAACGGTATTCACGTACGGAGATCGGATACGAATGTAAGCAAGCCTTTGCCCTTTCCGACAGCGGCGGGAAATGGTATATCACATGTTTCGACGAAACACATGGTCAAAGGAGCTAAAACATACATTAGACTCATTGTAATATTCTACTCAACTAGCTTTGCCCCACAGAACGAAACCCATCCTTCTTCTATCCGTCTCTTGGACACATTTTCGTGTAGTTACTGGTCATAACCCTTTCCATCCGTTGGGGGTAAACCGTAGTCTTTTGCGAGGGAATTTCCCATATACTTGAAAACAATAGTTGGCCATTTTCGTCCTCGTTAACCACTATTAATAAGCGTCGTCATACTTCCTCGTACCTCTGTTCTTCACTGTCTTCTCATTAAATTTCTCTCTCTGCTCCTCTGGGTTATTTACTTGTCCCAAACGTGTCAATCTTTCCGACTGATATATACACAAACATATAAAGGTACACAACATCTCAATGAACAATCCACTGTCAAAATTATTCAACCTTTACCGCATCACTGTCCCTTGCCTACTGTCTAGCATATTTGAAGATCCAGTGCTCTACTTGTCACGTTTACGACCTCATCTCGCCCGTATCATCTTTGTTAGCAGTTCGAGTTGCAGGTTTTCAATCGTGACAAGTAGTACTACACTGTAAATAAATATCTGATCCTAACAAAATCTTGCAAGCTGCTTTGGAACGAAGTAGTTATTTGAAGAGCGGTTTGCCTTACGTTGGATATTTGGGGCCTGGTTGCAACTGGTGAGAACACACAGCAGTTGAAAGATATTCTTGGGGTGGAAATGCCATCGAGCATTTTGTATTTGTAGCTTACTTTAGTGGCCGGTCATTGTAAAGCATTCCTCAAACATGATCCTATCTTCAATATCAACCAACATCACTGAAAAATTAGGTCCTCTCCCAATGAAGTGAACTTAGTCTATCAGCATTTGCATAGCTGCAGGTTCGAGCCTGTTAAATCTTTTGTTCTTGATTTCCACACATTGGGAACCAATAGTGCTCAGGAAGTAGGTTGATAACAGTGCACATTATACATTTAAACTTTGTTTTCTCTCTGTACACATTGAAAAGTATATGGACTTCCTAGGCAGGTAACCTGGGACGTTTTGAGCTTCGTCTCCAAACTTTGCCTTTCACTATGTTCACTGAAGGGTTATCGGTGGGAAACTCAGCAGGTGTGAGATGTCAGCTGCACAGAACATGGCTCAACTTTTTCGCTCATCAGGTTTTCGAACGTAACAGAAAGAACTTGAGATCATCAGGACGACAAGTGCTCCTCTGCAGCGCTACTTCGTTTGTTTGCATGAGGACATTGACAACTGCTAGTCTCCATAGATCATAGTTCACTATAACTGCTTCAAGAGTCCAATCCTCAGCCCGTCTGCCCCTGCTTTGCTCTCCACTCTAGGTTTGAATCATGCTTGTCGTGGTTCTACTCATGGTAACTATTTACTATTGCAGAGTACAGCGTGAAGCCCCGGCTACGTTTGTTCACCAGTAGGAAGACGGTAGGCTAGTTGAATCCATGCAAATACGATGCTCTAGCACCTCGCCTCTCTACCTTACCCCTTTTACCAATTTTCCGTATTCTTTGCAATCCGGCCACTTCAGTCCGTTGGTATACATTAAATAACACTAGTTATACCCAAAGATGATAAAGCACGTGAGGAGGTTGTGGAATTGCTCCTATTTGTTACAAAGTGATCTTGTGGTGAACTGGCGATAGATGAATTTATTAACATAAACTACTGCGAGAGACAGAGATGTATCCAAGCTAGTGGATTTCCATCTTCGGTCTCGGATGTTGTGGATCAAATGGCAAGTTCAGTTGATACGTTTTAATGGTGTTTTGTACTTATGAAATATTGATGATGAAAGCATGTGGACAGCAAACTCCACTCGCAAGGGTTATTCTCTGCTACGAGCTCCAGATTGTGGGATAAATTTCTCGAGTTCGTTGTGAGTGACAAACCTCCGTAATCTGGTTGCTGTAAATCGTATTGGAGTCGACTGCAGTTAGACAAAAATCATTGAGAAGTTCATACAATGGTACAATTGGACCATTGAATATTGATGCTGGCGAGGTGCGCACAATTTAGGTTTGCAATCAGAAGTGAAAGCGATGAGAGAGCACAGTGGGACCAAACCATCGACGATATCACCTCCTGCAGTCTAAACGGCGCCCCGGGGCGGCCACGTAGGACGTGCGGTGCCACGTAGACAGATCCAGCAGCAAGCGTAATGCTCACTCTTGGTGCCAACTGCGGGAGCCATCGCGGTATGTCGCGACTCGACGGTCCCGTCGAAGTGGACGACGTCGGCGCGCCTGGGCGTTCAGAATCGCGATTCGTCGTAAGTGTCGGGAAATCGGGTCTGAATGTCGAGGCAGTGCAGCGGACGCGTTTCGATCGAGAGGGCGGACGAGGTCCGGCTGTGAAGGAGGAGGAGGAAGCGCAGGAGGAGCGAAGAAATCATGGTGGCAGTTGTGCGTGTGCGTTTGAGCGGATGGCGATGACGATGGGGTCGTGAGGGAATAGGGTTCGCGAGGGCGTGGACGAGCGCGTAGGATTTGTGGAGTCGGGTCTGCGGAAGACGGCGAAGGCGCGTCGGCAAGATGTATAATGGGATAGGGCTCCAGACTCCTCGAGGATCGGGTACCAATGGGTACATTCAGACGAACAAGTTTTTCGTGAAATCGAGGCCTCTGAAGTCGGAGGCGCGGGAATTTCAAAATGGCCAGGGTCAGGGAGGGGTGTCGCGGAAGGCGAATAAGGAAATTTTGGAGCACGATCGGAAGAGGCAGATCGAGCTCAAGCTCACGCAGCTCGAGGATGAATTGCTTGAGCAGGGATTTTCTCTCGAGGATGTTGCCGAGAGGGTTGAATCTTCCAGAAAAGTTCTTGAGTCTTTCAGCTCCGAGAATGATACCACTACTACCTCGACAAGGTACAATGTTTATCTTTTTTTTTTTTGTGTGTGTGGTAATGAAAGTGCTTTCTTCTGCCAAATGTCAAAAACTTGTTTCGCTGACGATTGTGACCATCATAGGGTGTCCGACACACAGACTCACCAAATCGCTGCACGAAAGGAAAAGCAATTGGACGTTATGAAAGCCGCCCTAGGTCTTGACGATATCAAGGAAGGCGAAGCGTTTGATCGGGAATTGCAGGAGCAGCGAAAACAAGAACGAGTAATCGCTCGAGAAGATAAAGAAAGGGAACGGAAGGAGAAGCTACTCGAGCTGGAGAAAGAGGAACGGCGGAAGGAGAAAGAGGCCAAGAAGAAGGAGAAGGAAGAAGCGAAACAGAAGAAACGGGAAGAGAGGGAACGAAGGGAAGCCGAGGAACTGGCCAAAGAGAAGGCTGAAGAGGAAAGGAAAGCGGCCAAAAGGAGGAAAAGAGAAGAGGAGAGAGCAGAACAGGAGCGCCTTGAACAAGCTAAAGAAGAGGAAAGGAGGGCAGAGAGGGAGCGCAGAAGGGATGAGGAGGAACGCAAATATGAGAAGGAGCGGCGGAGAGATTGGAGGGAAGAAGATGAGAGGAAATCCGGAAGAAGCCGCAGAAGGGAGCACAGAGACGAGGAAGATGAGGATGAGCGGAGACACGCGAAGAGTAGGCGGAGGAAGTCTAGAGATGAAGAGGAGTTGAGGTCGTCGAGGGACCGCAAAAGAGATGTTAGAGACGAGGATGAGCCCAGGAAGTCTAGAGACGAAGAGGAATCGAGGTCGTTGAGGGACCGCAAGAGGGAGGTTCGAGACGAGGATGAGCCCAGGAAGTCTAGAGATGAAGAGGAGTCCAGGCCGTTGAGGGACCGCAAGAGAGAGGTTAGAGACGAGGATGAGCCCAGGCCAGGAAAGAGTCGGCGAAGAGACTCACGGGATGAACACGATGACGATGAACCCAAGAGCCCATAGGGAACTTGTATAGCTTAAGGATTTGTGAGTACAGCGGCTTGTTGATGAGAAGGGTTTCAAATTCTCGCGCGTTAGTTTAGGGCACATTCGTAGTAGCGTATGCTTCTGCAGAAGGTGCATTGTTATGTTTTCGAGTTGCAACTGTTGCATTTTTTAAATCATGTACATAGACTCTGCATGAACACGTTGGGTTCCATCTGTGACATTCATTTGTGAAGTTGTACAAGTTCGTATACATCTCAAGATTTTCAACCTGCCAGCTTCGTTGTATCCGTGATCTCCCAGAGTTTGGTTCTGCAATCAGTGGATTCAGTTTCTTCGGAGTTAAAATGGATGTAGACAAGACAATTCAACCGACCGTGTGATCATATAATATCCACGGCATTTAAAGGTGGACCGACACTACCTGTAAGGAACTCGATGTGATCGTTGGCGTACCAGTGGCTGCATGGATATGATCTGCCAATACGCAATCTGTTGAGTTGCGTGGGATTCGGATGTATAAAAAAATGTGGCTTAGTGATGAAGTGAAAGAAAAAACGGGCAGATAGGAAAAATAAATGCCACGAGAAAATAATTTTCCTGTTCATCCTGGAGCAGATATCCATGTGAAGATCAGCAGACGAAGGTGTGGATCTCCATCTTTGCTATAACCGGCTGTGAGAATCTGTACAGCTTACGATACGTGTATGCAGAACTGGGTACGAAGCTGCAATCTTCACAAGGATATCAACTTATGTCCGTATTTGAATATTCTCTTTATAACTTCATCACTGTGTTGATACGGTGAAGATTCATGTGGCGATGGATCGTGATTGAAGGTAACGCTTAAACTTCTCCAACGGCGTCGACAGGATGATGCATCATATTCTGATGAATCAAAAGTGTGTTAACTTACTGTGAATATTATGCAATGCTTTCTGTGTATAAACTTCTTTGTCGACTCTTCGAGCCGACAGTGGGAGGAAGAAAACCTTAACAACTCCACCTGAAAAGTCTTCTGGATAACTTTCGGAGGCGAGTACGTCATGATCACAAGGAAACTGTCACCGTTCCTCGCCGTTGAGGAATTTGTGCTTTCAGAGTGCACTCCCGCGAGTATATCGGAAGAAATAGTTTCTGCTCTCACCGTTGGACGCAATCGCGAGGAAAGTCTTTCTAGATGGTATTGAAGGAATATACTTCGGGCCACGGGTTTAGCGCTAATATACTTCGTACGAAAATGATAGCCAACTTTGCAGAAGCCCTCGTCGTCTCCACTTCTATGAAAGCCCTTGTTCAAAGCGGAATGATTTCACTAGCCTTTTTGAACATTTACATCCGCAACAATTCAAACCCCGATCGGCGATAACGGCCAGGGTCCAGGGTTTAGGGTTTTACAAGAAGGTGATTTTCCACTCGAGAACCATCGACGCAAGGACTGCACCTGCGACTTCGATTCACTCTGCTGCAGCAGTAGCGTCCCGACTTCTTGTTATGGAGGGCTGAAGGTAATGTGAGAGCTTTGAGTGAGAGATCACGATGGGGAAGGGTAAACGCAAGAGAGGGGACAGCACCGGGCCGTCGATAACGCTACTAGGAGGGAAGGCTTCTGCCGCTGAGACACCCATAAAATTGCCAGCAGTTGTGCTAGAACAGTCGGCAGCAGCAGCAGCTTCATCGCCCCAGTCTGCACCGAGTGTCTTGAAGCAGCGTCCTTCGCACACCGTGCATGCATCTCAAGGACTTCGGCAGTATACTGGCACCGGCCAAGCAATCCAGTTCTCTGGAAATCATGCAGGCCATCTGAAAGTTCAGTACTTGGCCCAAATTGCAAATTGGGCTTCTACTGCTGTTCCGAATCTGGGTGCCTATTTCGGGCAGCGATTGGCTGCTGCAAGTGAGGCCTTGTCCATTCCACCTCCGACTCCCCACTCCTTGTGCCAGCGGTAAGGATTGCATCTCACTCTCTAACTTGTATCCTGCATCAAGAAGTAGCTTAACCAATTATACTTATGTAAATTTCTCAGACCAAGGGCTAAGTCGGGGCCAGTGAAGACAAATACCTGTTGAATCGTCGGTACTTAGTGTGATCGCAGGAAATTGATCTTCTTTAATCGCTCATTCTTGTATCCATCTTGTAATTGTGACATTGGGTTCTGTTCAACTTCACCTTTGCTTATCCTAAGGCGAATGGAGTAACATGGGCATCGAAGATGATGGGGGAGTGTCCAATATTTTGATTGTTGAATTGTCTCGCGTATTAGTAGTATTCTGCCCTGATCAGTGTTTTGTCTTGGGCATGGACAGATGTGAATCTATTCTCCACGTTGGTGATAATTGCTCCGTTCGAGTTACCAAAGCACCGAAAAAATGGAGAAAGTCGAAGGTGAAGGGTGGCGATGCAGGTGTGAAGAATGCACTGGTTTACAACTGCCACTTTTGCAAGTTCGGAAACAAGAAGCCGGGGACCGCCAAGGGGCACGTGAAGACCAAATTTTCACAGTTACATGCCCTAAAGCAAATGAAGAAACTTTGGAGTGGCGAAAATGCTGCCCTCACCAAACAGACGAAGAGTCTTGGGACCAGCAATGTTCCTGCAGCGACGCGTTCGACAGCGCTAACGAAGGCCCTTGGGAGCAACAAGACTCCAGCAACAGGTCTTCCTGTAGGAAATGTAGCAAGAATATCTGCAATTGCTAGTCCTATGGTTGCTGCCCAGACACCTCTAGCTTCTTCATCTGCAAGTGTTAACGCAACAGCCCAAGCCACGGGTGGTGGGAAAAGGAGGAAACGAAAAGGATGGTCTACTTTGAAGGATATGACCACTGCAAAGGCGGAACCAGCAACTCCTGCATCCCTTGGATTCATGAGTCTGAGCAAAAAAGGCTAATACTAGAGGTAAATAGCAGCAACTTGCTTGATTTAGCATATGCAGGCATCGGGGCATACAAGGTGCTTGGTATAGAAGGTGCTTGGCCCTGCGAAGTCGCTTCTGGATTGTAAGAAGGAATTTGTTAATCTACCTTCCAGAGCTGCTTCGACGTCGGCACTTCTGACGGCGAGAGCGAAAATGTGGGGAGCAATCCAGTTCGGCTTCACCGTACATCCATTGTTGGGTGCTGTGTTGCCAGCAATTGGGTGCTGTACAGGAAGAAATGTGTAATGCAGTAGCTGAGGTGTACGTGCATCCTATGGATAATTGGGAATAATTTCAGAAGCAGCAAGAGAGCGGAGATGAGCTTCGCTCACTTTCGCTCTCCTCATTCGCATCATTCGTAACATGAAGTCGTTAGGAGGCTGGGTACCCAGCTCGCTACTGAATCGCATCAAGAGCAAGACATATGGTTCTGGTCCCGAGAAGTGAAGGACGTACGAATGATGTGAGCGGGTCATAGGCACAATGTTTGGAGTATACGTTTCAAGGTTTTATCGTCGACTGGCATCTTGAGGGTGTTCAATGCGGACAACTGGTGATGTCCAGAAACCTTGTTGCTGCAGGAGAAGACTCCTACTGGTTCCCTTGTTGTAGGCTCTCTGGCTTTCATTAGCATTCGAAGAACAGAAGTAAGGTCAGCTTTGTTCCAAAGTCTCTAGAGGATAGGTGGTCCAATATTTCTTCGTCACAGTAAAGCCGGATTCTGCAGTAGACTGATGTCGACACAAGTCGAAGAAACGGTTTAAAGATGGACCTCTGTAGGAAGAAATGATAGTTTGAAGTTCACAAGTAAGGGCTCTTCGGTCTCCAACACGTTCCAATTATGCGCCAGGATTATTTTAACTTGGATACTTACCGGCTCTGCCAGCCGGTAAGAAACTCGTGGAGACACGGTGCTTTCTCATAGGTCAATCATATCAAGCAGCCAATTGTTTAATGTAGTGTCTCAGCAGGCAGAAGACGGTCACACCAGGTATGTTGACCACCTTGCTGATATTTGCATTGTAAGATGAAAGTGAAAGCGAACTGTTAAAGCGAACTGGCGTCTGAATATGGATTTATATCTTCCTAAAAGTTTGCAAAGAATGAAGTAAAGTGGTTATCGTGGAACCACGAGTATCATAGGACCACTTTGAGGACCTGTTGTCAACATCTGGATTGGATGCACGACGACGTAGATGATTAGTCGTGAACTGGACTTGACAACTGGTATGTATGCGGTCAGTGTATCTGAGTACCATGGGTTTTTCATATGTAGTCGTTGCTTCATCATCTGACCAATCTTCAAGTGCCCAAGTTACCCCGGCTTTTCTCTCCATTCCAGATTTGAACCATTAGTATTATGAATAATGAATAGATAATATGAACTTGTATCGTGAAGCATCCCCCAGGCTTGTTCAAATGTAAGAAAACGGGTAGGCTGGTAAAATCATATGGTACATGGGATGCTTTAGCAATTTATTAAAATGTTTTGTATCGTGACTACCTATTGACTGTACCCTGTAAACTTCACCCCCCTCGTATCAACCATCCAGCTTCTTTCTATTCTGACTCGCTGGAAACCCTTAGTACAGAGTCTCTGACATCAGGTGTACCCAAAGTTGCGAAGGAGTCGTGAATGTATCTCTATTTTTTACATGCTTTAGCTGGGGTACATTTGTGCATCATTTGTAATTCTGATTAGGTTCTTATTGTTCATGTGTTGACGTCCACAGAGAGCCAGGGGAATGTGTTCAAAGTAGTAGATTCACATCTTCGGTTTTGAATGTTGTAGGTGCTAATGCGCGTTGAGTTGATGTATACGAAAATTATACCTTGTACTAACTGATAAACTGACGTTCACAATAACTTGTTAGCCAGAGCTCATGGACAGCAGATTCCTCTTCGCTGTTTGCAGTTTGACTTGCAGTTTGACTTCCTGTATGAAGGTGTTCTTGAGACGAAGCTGAATAACACTTCTACATGCAAGGTCAACTGGTAGACGGAAACACGGGTGTACTGGATGACTACCAGTGAAGCAGTGAACTGATAAGTCATTCACAACGTACATGTTTTAAATCGTGGCAGATTTCCTACAGGGTGCTGGTACACTACGAATGGGTTCTTGATCTCCTACGAATTACGTTTGTCGTTGAAGTCTCACTGAATCTGAGAACAGTTCATGCCATGGGCGAAGAAGTACAAGAATCACTGTGTTCAGAAATCGGACTTTCAGTAAGGAACACCGGACAGATATGGAAATAGTTCTCAATCACACAAAGAGGCGGACCGTAGTAACCGTAGTTTGATCACGGAGAGGTAAGGGTTGGGATCTCTTCGTATCTTAAATCTTAATATCTGGCAGGTCGTGAACCGGAGCTCAAAAAAAATTCCATAATGTTCAATTACTTTAAAAAAGAACGGAAACAGTTGGGGGAGCATCATGTCCGTGTAGACGACTAATATCTTTTAGTTAGTAGTACATCCATTCCTATTCATTCCGGGATGCAGCAGCTGCCTCAGCTTCTGAGTTTTGCAAAGTCTCGCTCTGCAATCCAGACAATTTGATATAAATGAATGAAGGAGCAGATGGCAACAACCTATTCGTCTTATGATCAAAATGGCTGAAAATGTATTATCCGTTTGTAGCAAATCAATGAGAGTTTCGAAATAATCCACGTCAATGAACTAGATAGTATATCTCAACCAGATTATCCATAATAAGGAGGTTTTCATGTGGGTAAATTCTTCGCGTATTTATAATAAAAAGTTGTTAACAAATTGCATGAACTAAATTACACAAAAGAGATAAAGGAGGAAGTTCCCATGGCGTTTAGCATAAAACTAACTTGTACATTCTGTAGCGATCTTGTACATTCTATAGCAAACATTACATTGTTGAGAACTATATCTCAAGCCTACAAAGCTAAAAATGTAACATCTTTGGATGAAAAGATTATGGATATTACCGCCAATCCAAGGCAATGTATAATAGTTCAATTTGAAACTTTTTCAGGATTGTGGTATGATTGCCTCAAAGTTTGCATCGGTCAAACTCCCATGTTGGCTAGTTACATATCAAAACATCTTGATTATCTTCTTGTTTCCTTTCATCAGAATAAAGTCAATATAGCTATCACACTAAAGAGTTTCAGTAATTGCATTCATTTCCATGTGTGCCGTGCTTCTCTTTGGCGCATATTTGTCTCCTTTCCTTGCTTGCTAAGTTTGTACATGTTATTTATGCATAGGATATTGATTTTATTTTTATCCTCTCAATGTTGCAATATTCAAACATAGGTTTTGGTTTAAAACTATAACCTATGCTTAGAGATAACACTTCTGATCTTAATCTTTCAGTATTGAGCGCTAAATTGATTGAATAATTGGGAATTTTTGGGATTGGGAATTTTTGTTAGCAAGATTTAAGCAAAATTATTTTCCATTTCATATTTTATGATTTACAAGATTTTTTTTTTCTTTATTTTTCCTCTTTGATTCAATCTTCAAACTGAGGAGTAATCATCTAGTGAGAGTGTTGAAGACAAAACAATGTCATGTTCATATATATGTTGTGTATAATTAGTATCGGATTATGATTAACTCTAGTTGAGTTAATCCTAGGTAGAGCCTAAGTTAGAATTCACTATAGTTGGAGAGTTGGTCGCGTGGAGACTCAAGACTTTTGAGTGAATAATAGCTTTCAGTAGGTAGCTATGGCGTCCCTTTAGCTTCGGCTTGAATTCTCCCGAGTTGTGGAATAGACTTCGCTCTCCCGAGTTGTGGAATGGACTTCGCTCGACTTTATGTGAAATTTTGTGTTTCATACTAGTAGGGTTATCACGACATTTTCACTTGAAGTCGTGATACATTTGTGTATGTATGCGCTTGGTACCTATATATGTGTAAATGTCAATATGACATGTGAGCAACATCGAAGGTTTATCACATGTATGTATACATGCATATATAGTTAGAGTTTAGGAATTTATGTTTAGTAGCTGATCGTCTATCATCCAACCAAGATACGATTCCAACACCGCTGTGGCTTGGTATTAGAAACTTCAATACTTATTCAATCAAGACACGTGGACACAAAGGAGTCGGTAGAACAGACTTGGCTTATTTCCACAACCTTTCTAGACATATAAAAGCTGAATGTTGTCGACAAAGTCGCCCTGTTACAACGGGAAGGTTATAGCGACATGAGCCAATCATGAACGTGCAATCCATCTAACACTGGTATGAACACAAACCAAATTATCCTAAACAGATGGGATAGCTTATATAGAAATCCAAATAAAAATTTTGTGATTAATGCATTGTAAATGGGAAAATTTTATTAGCATAGTATACCTTTGGTGTGTTTTTAAAATAATTTTTTTAAAGAATTTATCATAACGTTGATATGGATTAGATTTCATATATAATCAAATAATTAAGTATATTTTTATCAATTAAATTCAATACATGATAACATCTGAAATTTTATGCCACTCCATATACATGATTCTGATAGTTATCTTAAATTGAAAAAAGTAAATAAATCCATTTGGATTCAGTAGCGAAATTAGCAGGAGACTAACAATTCAAGACCAAAAAAAGGCATAATACAAATAAATAAAAAACAAGGTCGACGTATTTTAAACGAGGTAATTTTGAAATGTTCAAGTGTTTTTTATATCTGGATAATTTATTTTAAAAATGACTTAACCCAAATTATATGTTTGAAATGTTTTACCAGAGTGTTCAAGATTCAGATGATAACTGTTCAGGATTCTTTGTGCAGTATTTTCCAATGGTCTAGCACGCTTAAAATTCTAATTACGCCCCCACTGAAACATCTGCATATCTGAACTTTGTGTACTTTTTAGATTATAAAATATCCTCCAATGTACTACCTTGGTTTTCGAGGTGTATTTAGTTATGACTGAAGAGTGTTTGTCAAAGATCATCTTTTGTTTTGCTTGTTTTAAAAGAAGGAAACTGACAAATTCATCTACTTTCTTGCAGAACGACAAAGGAAAACATGACCTTGTGTACTCACAATATATGCGTACTGGTCGGCTGGTAAAGCAAAAGTCTGCGTAAATGCACGGAATAGAAAATGCTGACAAAGGTCCAGTCCTTTGGAAGGAAGGAGACATGCAATGATTCCATCGTAGACAGAGGAAGAACTAACGGGCAGCCCTCATCATGTGGCACGACCAGTCGAAACGATGCATGGAAGACATATGGTTCCAACCGACTTTGATACCCCCGTCCTCTCCTCCACTTCTATAGCCGAGCATAGACTTCCCAAAGGTTTGGCTGCAGCGCAGTTCCATGTTACCCCCCTCGGGCCTGAGCCTACAGCAGCTCCTTTTCAGCAGTCTCGGTGTAATCACTACCCGCCTTCGTCGGCTGCTCAACTACTGTACTCATGATTCCTGCACCGCATTTTGGTGGCAGTTTACGAATCCTTACTAACAGTATCTTGCTTCGACACACAATAATGGCTCAGGGATCTCTCCATGAATCTGCATGACATTTTATGTCCTTTTTCTTGGGACAGTGGTTTTGATGCCTTCGAGACTTGACCACATAACTAGTAGTAAAATATTAGATTCACATGCATTATGATGATCCTCCTTCACAGTGCATCATCAGTTTGATATTCTAGGGCGATAATTTAGCAAGGAATATTTTGACACAAATTTGGTGATTAGGTAACAAGGTCTTCGTTCGATAGCAGCCTTGCAGGTAGAACCTGAAATAAAGCCTTACTTTGACTTGCATCATTACCCTCTGTGACAACGCGACATCGTTAGATCTACAACCATAACGTGTGCAATGGCAACTCGCTTATCTAACTGCGTTGACGGTTACCAGAAACTAACCTTTTCCAAAGTTATAGAATACGGCCAATGAGTCCAACAGATGCTTAGAAGTGGACAGAGCCTAGCATAGCAATTGTATTCACACGGGTTTCGGGGGAATGAACACATATTCCAGACTAACCTTGCTATCCAGTGCAATGTATTTAAGAACCTTGTAAACACGTTCAGCTTCTAAATGAGTACATTTCTGTGTCAGTCGTTTCAAGGCAGTGATGAATATAATCTAAAATTAAAATCTTTTCCGTTGCCGGGACTTGAACCCGGGTCGCTCGGGTGAGAGCCGAGTATCCTGACCAACTAGACTACAACGGAGAAGTTGTTACACACGTAGCACTCTATGAACAGATTTGTTATTTAAAATCAACAAACAATGTGAACGGAGATTTATTCAACCACTTCTGCCTTCGAGGAGAGAAGGAGCGGACAAGGGGTCGCTTTTCTGACTCAGCTGCAGCACCTTCACCATCGCCCGGACGGAATCACGTGGCTCTCAGTCGCCCGCGCTCGCTCAGTAAGAGGACACGTCGGCCTTTCGGATTCTCCGTTCCGAATGCCGCCCTCCGTCGTCGTCGTCGTCGTCACCACCGTGGCTTCCCCGTCAAGCCATCGCTCGTGTCAGTCCCCACTCCAGAGGCTGTGGGATCCTCGAGCCTCGTCCGCATCTGTCGAATCGTGCTGTCGATGCCCGGCGTCCAAATCTGCGACGAGAGTGACGAGGTGAGGTCGGTCTACTGGCAATTGACAGGAATTCGATTGCACCGCTTTCTTTATTTTTTCGAGTCGCATAGCTTGATTGAGGTGATTTGTTGCTGCAGCTTTTTGGATTTCGGCGAATGCATTCGTTATCTGTGGTAGTTTTGCGAGTCTTGGGCATTTTTAAGGAATTGGCCGCAGATGCGAGCTCCGTGGAAGTCGTTGCTGAGAAGTTGGAAATTTATTTGTTCCGCTTTGGTTTGTTGTTTTCAAGTTGCCGGCTTGGCGTCGATGTAACCGAAGTTTGTGGATCGCATTACGTTTTTTGTGTTCTAGCGTTGTGTGTCAGAGGCAGAATGCCGAAGCCAAAGTTGGAATTTAAACTTGTCGCTTTTGTGGCAGGTGTGAAGGCGATCGACCTAAGACTCGCGAGGAGGAAAACAATACGCTTGGAATTTCTTTGGGTAGTATCTGCTCTTAGGTTGTGAGTCAAGAAAATTATCCGCAGGCTTGAATCTCGAAGCTAAAGTCATGGATACGACATCGTCTGCCTCAGACGGTGGTCCTGCCCTTAAGGCTCAGGAGGTTTCGGGCGATGGTAAGTTCCCAACGCCGCAGTTGCCTGTGATGGTGAGATCTCCAAACGTTACGATATTCCATCAAAGCAAGCAATCGAAATGTCGGAATTAATCCGGTGCTTGGACGTAATGTCAAATGTACATATTTACAAATGTTTCTGACATCGAATAGGATGTATGGATGGAAATTTTCCACGAGACTGGATGTGAGCTGCGTACCCACAGTAGGATATGTCTCTGAAGTATTCTTGAGTAAAATCTTGCAGAACAAGTAGACTTCAAATCCATGAGCGACTCAGAATGGCAAAATCGGCTGACGAAGGAGCAGTTTTACGTCGCACGAAAGAAAGGAACCGAGAGGGCATTCACTGGGTGGGTTGCATATGTATTTCTCCTGTGTGGTATCCGCTTGCCGTGCCTACTTCTAGCCGTTTTCTTTACTTTTGTGTATGTTGAATGTCCAGGTCCCCTACTGCTAAGTTGGTATGGTGTACGAGAATCACTCTAACTCGCTGATTCTGTGCAGTGAGTATTGGAATACGAAGACCCCTGGAACGTATACGTGCGCATGCTGCGACACACCACTTTTCGAGTAAGTAAGCGAGCTCATGGTCATGATTGATTGAAGCTTATTGCGTCTGTCTGCTGGGTCTTGATCAAGCAACTTAGCAAGTGCTGCTATGTGTTTAAGTTCATTAGTAGTGAGAGTTTGTGTTACGAGCAAGGGCCAGTTAAGATTAGATTTACCGCGGGGTTCTACGCTGACGAGTTCTATGGTCTATGGTAGAATGCCGCACGGTACCTATTTGTAACCACAAGTGTCGATTACTGCAGCTCATCTACCAAGTTTGATAGCGGCACGGGCTGGCCTTCATACTGGCAACCAATTGGAAACAGTGTAAAATCTGCAAGAGATGTGTCCAATCCGTTTATGCCACGTACAGAGGTGCTGTGTGTCAAATGTGATGCACACCTTGGGCATGTCTTCGATGATGGTCCTCATCCTACCGGAGAACGTTACTGTATCAATAGGTATGGAAAAAGTTTGAGCTTGAGTTTTCCAGCTATGTTTTTCTGCGTTATTGCTTTGTCTTGGGTCCGAAGAAAGTGACAACTGCTGACGCTTGGTTCTATTACGAGGTACAGAAATATGATTTTTTCACAATATACTCAGTGCTCTTGTTGATCTCTCGTTGTGTGCATCGTCTTGTAGTTCAAACTTGAACGCTAAGTTGTGTGCTTGGATGCTCATACTTACCCTTCTTCTCTGAACGGTGCAGTGCATGTCTCAAGCTGAAACCAGAACAAACGTGAAGCCGGATGTGAAGGCAGTCAGTGACTGCCTTTACATCAGGTGTTGATGGTTTCTTATACCCTCGTATGTCAGCTCGGACAGCAATAGGTCGAAGCTGAACGTCCTCACTTAAGACATTTGTGGATGCCTCGGATATGGTAAATGAGGACTATATTGATTACTTGTTACACCGTGAACTCCTTGAAATCCCTAGTGTTGTAAATTAAAGTGTCACTTCCTTGCATATCCTATATAATGTCTATACGACGATTGCAAGTTGTAAAAACTAACCTGGCGCATATTTCATGCTCCATGTTCACTGAAATAGTAGTACAGTATCAAAATATTCAAAATGTTGATTTGAAGACAACCTTATATAGACCGGATGACGGAAAGGATAGTTGGTGATTGATTGCATCCAGTTCATATGGTTGATCAGTGGAAGTGATTGCTCTTTCTCCTTTTTCGTATCGAATCTGGAAGTGAAGCTCTTCTCAGTCAAAGCTACGCTCTTGAGCTTCGAACATTGCAATGAAGACGGTACGTGGAAAGAGAAGTCTTGACTGACATGTGTAGCCAAAATGAAGCACTCAACGATGATAGAGAAAGAGGTTTTCACTCGTTCCGTTACGTTCAGTCATTCTCGGGCGTACTCAAGAATTTCCGCGCGGTCGGGAAAGGTAGCCTCTGTTTTTTTAACTCCTTTGACCCACAACCTGAAGATTCGTAGGTCATTCAGTCTATGCAGAAATGCTTGGACACTGTTCAGCAACAGCTCTATTGTGGATTGGTATTTTGTCCGGAGGATGGGAAGTAGGGACCACGCGAACATTAAGCTTTTTAAAACTCCGGTACAGCTGAGAAGATAGAAAGTGGAACCGAACCCTACTTGTTGCGAACGTCAGTCTAGTGCAAGTGTCACGGTCATCTCTTGGTAAATTGCGACTGTACAACTGATCTGATCGTTTAAGCCTCAATTCTTGTCTGGACTTTTCAGCCTAAACATCACTAACCGTGCGCTGATGTTGTATGACAAGATCGACATTGACTGCGAAGAAAACGTGGAGACTACACGAGCGGGAAAGAAATGAATAAATAGATAAATAAATGTTGTGACAAGTAAAACTCGGATTGTTTTTGTTGAAAGCTCGGCCAACTACCACGCAATAGAAAAATCTTCTTCCATATCCTCAATTGCAAAGTTAATAGTGAGCGTAATTCAATTTAGCCATCATACACTATTATCTTCAAGAGTTTATTATGTACACCCGTACCTCAAAACTTTTCTGAGTTTTGTTTAAGTTTCTTGTTCACAATCTCAATCCACCAAGGGGGAGTGTAAAGAAAAGAAAGTTTTGATCGTACCGAGACATTGAAAGCTGCTTGGGACCTGCAGTAGTAGCCTGAAGAGCGATGTGACCTACATTAGACTCTTGGACGGAAGCTTGTCACAGTGGAATGTGAACAAAGCAGTTGAGATTGGAATTGGCGTCAGTAGTTTGAGTTTGTAGCTTATTTCAGTAGCCGGTCATCGTCAATCATTCCTCGAACATGTTCCCATCTTCGACGTAAACAACATCATCGAACGATTTTGGCCTTACCCACCGAAATGTCCACCCACTTAGTCCATCGTAATTTAGATTCCTGCAAAATTCGAACCCCTTAAACTGCGGAACTGTTTGTTCTTGTTTGCACCTCTTGGGAACCAACATTGCCCTCAAGGCAGGTTCCATCTCAGTGCAGATGACAAATTTGAGATTTGTTTCTTGCTCTGCACACATCGAAAAGTGTATGCAATTTCCAGGCAGGTAACTAGGGACGTGTCTGACTTTCGTCTCCCAACAATATAGAACTTTGTCTGTTCAATGTGTTCACTGGAGGTTTATTGGATGCTTGGCTTAACAGGTCCAAGATGTCAGCTGTAAAGAAGATGGTGTACCTCTATCACTCATAGTCAGAAAGGAAGGCATCGAAGGCAACAGAAGCTCTTGAGATGATCACACCGACAAGTGTGCCTCTATGGTGCTACTTTGCATTTGAATATTGACAAAGTTCTTGGTATGCAGATCACGTTTTGGTCTGATCTGCATGTCTCCAAACCTGATCATCATGTCCTTTTATGTTCCTCTCCAGCAGGAAAAAGTCTGGATGTTCATTGTACAAACTAGACCTTCCATAGGAACGAACGGATCTTACTCATACTGAATCTTAAGCCTGCCTTTTCTGCCCACCGTAGCAGTCACCTCACAGCTGCTCAAGATAACAATAACGCATGGTTGAAGTTAGAACTCGACAGCCAAGCAGAAGTCTCCACGATTGTCGAAAACCGTGGAACGTTCATGAAATACATGGACTGCTAATTTGCCCGCCTCTTCGTCAGAGAAAAATGGTTGTTGCTGTAAGCCTGACGTTCGACTTTTCTTGCTCGGGCATGCTATGGAGTAGACATGCTGTTAGACTGCGATTAATGAACTGTGAGCCGCAAATTGAAGTCAAGTGAATGTGCTTAAGAAGCAGATTTTTTCCTTTTGTCCTGAGCTTTGGTCGAAAGTGCTTTTTTTTTGCTTTCGTTTGTTCAACACGAGGTGTAACCGTCATACCTGTGCAGCGCAATACAAATACGATAGCAGAAAAGGCGTTGTACATCTTATAAGTATCATTCTATTCAACACATTTTAATCACTGGACTAGGTCTGCAGATTACACTCTACAAGAACAATTTACCAACTTTGACTACTAAATAGCTGTAAAATGTATTTCCGTCTTGAGAGCTGAATGGTTAATATAGAAGTTATCTGGAATTGGAAGTAGTTGACATCAAAATGGCCGTGCATACGAATTACCTGATTTGACATACTTCACTGATGTCGTAATTTTATATTAGAAAAAGAGGAGGAAGAGAAAATAATCGAACTTCAATCTGAATCTAATCCGAGTTAATCAACATTATGCGATGATAATCTAGAGATCATGAACTAGATTTTGAACAGACGTTATCTTCTTCGATGAACATCGTAGGGCCAAAACGATCGAGAATGGAATTCACCGTAGACTTTATGAGACAAAGGCATCGAGTATGCTGAGTCGTTCCTCCGGCCAAAATTTGAATATCTGTAAATAGTAGCTATTGCCAGAAAATCCCATTCGTCTATATAAGTAGACAACATCACTATGCAAACGGGGAATCTTTTCTCCCACTTGTAGACCAGGTGGCTCACACCGTCAATGGCCCAGTCAAAGGTAGATAGAGCGTTCGGAAGCTTCCGATATATATGTAGGAGGTCCCATCATTCTGGGCAGGAGGAATCCCCAGACCGAGCAGACAAAACCATCAGAAACTCGAGCTCAAATAGAAACTCACCTGATGTAACTTCACTTTCACCTCAACCATGCAACCAACATCAGCATTCTACAATCATGGAGACATGCTGAAATTTGCAAGAGTTTGAGAACAATGGTAGAGTAGAGATGCTATGAATTTACAGGAGTAGAGTGGAGCCAGAGCAACCCTCCAGACTGGTCATAGGGCGAACTGATTATGAGTTTCGGGACACACTTATTCTATCTTCTAGACTCGATCTGAGCTACGCAGTTGTTATTGTTAGACACGAACACTTCCAGAGTGTGTCGTTTATTGGGAAGGGGCCATAATTGGGAAGAGCGAGGTCAGGCCCGGTGGACTTTTGGTCCAACTAAATGCGGCCCCGGTCCCACAGTCTGGCCTTTTCCTACCACGGAGGATCCAATCGGGTAAATTATCGCCCACCGTCTGTATCCGGTCAGAAGTGAAAAGCGGGGCGGGGCCGAGGAACCCGGAATGCGATGCGAAGACGGGAGGAGCGAGGATAGCCGGGCACGATCCGGGCTCATGGGTCCCATCATAGGCCCATGCTCTGCGCAGGCTGGCACTCCTGCCGGGCACGGACACTTGGCAGCCGGAAGCAGCCAGCTGCGAAGCCGACGCGCGCGAGAAGGCTCGCGCGGCCAAGTGGCCAGTGGATAGGGCGGCCTCACGTGCCCAGGTGGAGAGTCTTGCCGCATCGCTGCCCTCGCTGGCCAAACACCTCATCCGTGCCCAGTCATACGTCATGGCCTGCGCTCTGACCCCGCGCTTTTGCGCCCGCTCCGTCCCGACCGGTCCCAAGGTCGAACTGCGTCGCCCCTCCTGCGGGATCGCAGTCATCGACTGTCAGAACTGATTCCGTCCGTCCATCCATCCATCCATATATCCATCCACCCATCGTCGTGTTCGTTCGGTCCGTCGTGACCGTAGGTTTGGAGAACAAAGATGGGCAACTTGTAATATACCCGAGACAAATGAATCACCCCTTTTAATCCTACACCAATAGCCTGGGGCTAAACCCAGTAGTTTATATGAGAGAATAAAGTATTATACTATTGATTGTAATTAAATGACGTGGTTGCTCGACTCTAGATATCACCGGGAAGTGGTTTAATTAGAAAAATGTAAACATATGGGCCAAAGTAGAAAACGAATGGAAAAGAAGAAGGAACAAATATGGCATATATTATTTATTGCAATTGTGATGATTGCGAACTTGATTCTACCATTTCAGATGTGAGAACTAAAATGTGTAAGCTCTAAGTGGGCAGTTGATGTCGACGGCAGAAAGTGCAGTGATGCACATACAGCAGAAGTCTACGTGCAGACCGTGAAGTCAAAATGTTTGTTTCTTGTGAAGACAAGGCAATAGCGATTCCAATATGAACAGCCAAAGTATATGAAAAGTCAAGTTCAAGCCCAAAAAACACTCCACAATCTATTATATTAACGAAATGAATGTTCGTTTACCTTTGACGAATGTTCGTTTTGTTCATCATGCCTTTTACACAACTGATCAGCGGTATTTTTATTGCAACAATGCTTTTGATTATCCAAAATTATCGGCTTTAGACGGGACCTGAAAACTCTCGAGCAGAGAAAAGATATTTGTCAGGATATTTGTTGCCCACAGTACCGATCGGAACATAGTACTGAAGGGAATAAGGAAGGAGCAACGAAATCAATCCGTGCTCGTGAAAAGAGCACAGAATCCGCTTATCCTTGGGGCAAAATAGGCTTATCACTCTTGAAACATTGCAGTCGAATCGAATCGAATCGAATCGAATCCGTAAGCACCGGCAATGCAAAGGGGGACCCAAGTGGATACCCCCAAACATATATGAATATATGCAAACGTACAGTTGCGAATGTGCGATACCTTCGAGATGAAACAGGGACCAACTTCGTACAAAATGTCACCCTGAATGTTTTAACTAATATTTGCAGGCCGTATCCGCCCTCGAGTCAGATATTTGCATACTGAGAATTTCACATCGTCTTACTATTACTGTGCATGCATGATCGCAATCATCAATGAACGAAGTCATCGGCCTTTGACCTTCCTTCCTTCCGTCCCCTCCTCCAGCGGGATAGCGATTCCAGAGTCCAGGAGATTACCAGAAAATCAAACCGACGATTTTCCAGCATTAACCACCAGCACGATAGGATAGTGCTGCCCCTGCTCGCAGTAAATATGTGCATCGAAAAAACAACATTTATGTCAAAATATTGCTCACATCCCTCACCAGTCAGTACGTGCACGGGGGACGTGGAGGAGTGACGTGGCAGAGTGGAGGGGAGAGTGACGGGGCATGACGGGGACTTCCGGGTAGTGCCGGGAAGTGCCGTCGAGGGCTGTCCGAGCAGAAGGGTCCCGGCGGGATCCCGTCACTAAATCCGGCTCCCGTGCGTTGCCCACGGCCCCAAACTCGCGAAACGACGACGGCGCGGAAGGAGGAGGGGACAGAGACACAGAATGATCCAGCGGTCCTTCCCTCACAGAGCCCGAGACCTCCCTCACCGTGTTTGTTGAGCTTTTATCTGCCAGTTGTCGGATCTTTTATCGACGGCCGAAGAGCAGGAATGGGCCAGCCTGACTCGCATCGGACGGCTTGAAGCGAGGTATGGGGCACCTCTCGTGACCTCAACTTTAGACATCACTTCCCCGGCTTTAGCAACCGATGAGAAAATTAATATAATTCAAAAGGTTAAAAAAATAAATATTCAGAAGAAAAAAATTAAATCTTCTTGCCATTGGGGCCTACCTCCATGTTCATAGTTTGTTTCATCACTGAATGGCTTGATGGGTCTTACATCCCTTTTTGGGTTTGATTACTGGCTGCCCGCGGGTCTCCTTGATCTTAAATAACAATAGAAAATGACCGACCTTAATAAATGCACAATAGACCTATTTCTTACCCAGGCGTGTATGGTTTTCACAGCCCAGTTAGAAAGTCGGATACGGTCGACTACAGTGCAGAAGAAACCTAACTCCGTTCTGTGAATTGCCATGACAGTTACGTAGTAGGCCTTGTTTTGATAGGAGCATGCAGACCAGCAATGGGTGTAAGAAAGAAACCCCGAGTGGCTAGCCAAACCAAGAGTCGAGTTAGGGTGGGGGATCCCACGCGACCACAGTCGAGTAAGGTGATGCCATCCATCATCTTCGTGGGTCAGCAGTTCGTAGTCTTTATCCGAACTTGGTAACTGGATGGACCGAACTGGGTTACGCCGTTGGACAGAGTACGAAAAGCACAGGAAGGCGCCATCCGTCGAGGCTTACGACGTTGGATCAATCCGAGGGCCAGTCAAGGGGAAAGACGTACCGTTGCGCCAACAAAAGTGTGAGAGACTGGTCAAGCGGTTGACAGACAGGTTACCGCAGTCCGACCGAAGAGTGACATTCTTGGCATGATGATAAAAAATCTGGAGCTGGGGGAAAGCCATTGTAGAATCGAGAACCGAGTGCAGCACAGCGCAGGAGTGGTAGATGTGTGCCCATCGGTCGGGCAGGATTGCTGCATTGGCAGATTGAAGGTACTCAGTAGTAGTAGTACTTAAGCGTCGTCGGTCTCGATTGAGATCTTTTAAAAACCGTTTAGATGAGAAGAATCAGTGACCGACCGAATCTGCTCGAGGTCGGTTCGATTTGGTGGATAGGGTGGCGATAGACTGGATTAGTTAGATTTTCGTTAGTGAGCTGGAGGAGGAGGTAATTTTATAACATCTAACGAGGGATGCCTGTAGAAAACTGGGCGAGGGAGTGATTTGTGCCCTCGGAGCAGATCTAGTAACGAGATCCACAATGGCTGGCACAGGAAGACGAATCCGCGCAGGGTTAAAGAAGGAATATGGCTTGCCAATCTCGGAGCTGCATCATCATCATCATCTGCCTTGGGGAGCAACTGGACCGAACCCATGGATGATGGACTCGCCACAGACTTGAGAATGGGATCTCGTCGTTACTGACTTGACAAACTGTACCTCGAAACTGATTTCTCTCCCTCCCTCTCTCTCTCTCATGCGGGACAAAATACGGCTCACGTCAATGAATCAGTCAGGACAGATTGAGTGAGTGAGTGACTAGATCGAGAGTTGTCTGTTGTCGTTCGGGAAGGCGGTTTGCGCCGTGCAGTGTCGATACATCAAGTGAGAGTCGGAAAAGCAGTGTTCAGATTAAGTCACTCTAATCATGTGAGGACACAACGAGAAGACATTATTGCTCTAGGAGCTCGGCTTAGGGTTTTACGGTTTAGATGGGGAGCTGACCAGAGAGGGGAATTCAAGAGCTGGCTGGTGGCCATAACGAACCAAGGTTCAAGCGAAAGCAGCTCAGATTCATTTGGCCCTCAGATCAGAAGGAGGCCATTTGTTCTTCCAGAAGATGCTGGTCAATTAATATTGTTCACCCGCGGAAACATGCACTGGGACAAGGGAGTTGTCGACCCCGTGACTCATCATCATCAATGCTAGCTAGAACCGCACTACAGTATAGGGAAGCCTTGGCCTCCGGGGCGTGGAGAAACATGCGATCTCGATTCCTGCATCTTTTGTCAAACGCTTGCAAGTTCAAAGAGGCACTAAAGTACGAAAGTATCCTGTTGGCCGCCGGTGATGATGGGGATCCGGCAACGAGCCACCGTCGCGCTCGAAATGACCTGCCGAGAGCAGAGTGGAAGAGAATGGAATCAAGATAATGAAAAGAATAAGATATGGCTCCCTTTGAGATTGAAAATCACTCATTTGTCGAAACGCACATCTTCGATCGATCGATGGGAGGACCCCTCTCTGCTGTCATCGAAAGTAAATGTACCGAGTAAGTGCGTAATATCAAACTTCTGTTAGACCACAGTCCACTCAACTGGCGTTTGAAACGACGAATAACCTCCATTCTTGCAAGGTGTGATTTTAGATGCGTTGTGAGAAAGCAGTGAGAAGAATGTGTCCATTTACTATAATGGTAGTAGATCAAGCCCAGGGGACCCGAATGGTCAAAAGGTTAAAAAATACATCCACTCGCTACCAAGGAGAAAACCCCTAGCTATTGCCTAGAACGATGACTAATACCATTCTTAATATAACAGGTTCAAGCTGTAGTAAAGAATAGAAATTCAGAAGAATAAAAATGCAACAATTTTATAGACATTTCTAATATAAATATATCTAATACATGTAACAAACACATGCTCTTTGTCCTGAATAGTCCTATTCTCACATAAACTACAAAATTGTTCACTTCTATCAATGTTATACTTTTATATCAATATTATGAGACTTTGTATTATGTGTCGTGCAATAATATGATGTAAATATGTAGTAATCATTGCAAATAAATCTACTTGTCGAAAATAAACAAAGATAGGGTTAATTTTTTTATCCAAAGAATATTGAGAATTTATATTGTAGACGTGGGCGAAATGCATATTACTGTGATACATTTCTTCGCCGAAGATCGTTTTGGTATATTACACAAACTGAAGGAGGGTTCAACTTTATGAGGAAGGTGTAGCCCACTTGGGTAACACTTTATGATCTCCGGTAGAATACACAGATGAAAACGAGGGTGCTGCAATGATATCGAAACCCGGTCGTAACTAGACTTGTCAAATTCGAATAGAATGCCAGCAGCTAATATCTGCCACCTAATATCTTCTCTGCAGGTGTCTCGCTTTTGGCCAAGCAGCAGCTCAATCTTCTGCACAGCTATATCGTACATCCTCCCGAGGTAGATGAACGAAGTACATCAACTTGATGGTTGCTCCTCATAATGTGCCGTTCCTCTTTGGTAGACAGACTTCAAAAGCCTCAAGTCTTGTTTGCCTATGATGCTGATTTTTCCACTAGCGTCCAATGGTCCCTCGAAATATCCTCTCTGGACTATTTTTCTTTCTTCAGCTAAAATACTCCTCTAGATAGAATGTCTTATCTGGGGCAACTCTGATGTCAAGCTTGTACCAAGTAACTCGCTTTTACCAAGTCAAAGAGCTAACTTGACTGTTAAAGTATCAACGGAATCGGTCAGAATATGACCCTCAACTTTTGTAAATGAGATTCAGTCTCAAATGTGTGAATGTGCGAGTGTTCTTGTTCGACTGAATGTTTTCAGTGACAAAACCCCATCATCGATCTAGGACACATTTTGGCCTGGAGCTTTGTGCCCTTAGGGACGATTCAACCCCTTCATCATTTCCTTACAGGTCTCTAATTCATAAGATTTTGGAACTTTCGAATGTAAGGCAGACTGTCTAGAACAGGATAATCTCCGGGGTCTTGAAGCAAGCATCAGTGACGATTCCAAGTGCTCACATCCGCAAGGAAGATGAATTTTGTGGAAGATCCGCAGATAGATTCATATATGTGAAGATGATGTCATTTATGGCGAGCACTGTTGAAACTGTAGCTCTCAGTATAAAAAAAAATTGTGCAGGGAGAACTACTGTAATCAGAATCACTTGTCGAAGTCTGATGATTATGATCAGAATATTTATTCCGATATCAAAAGGACTGACCTTTTCAGAAGAGATGAAGGCTGACAACATGTTCTTCAATGACAATCTTACCTGCTTTAAGGGACAGCGTCTGGCTCAATCTGGTCGTAACAGCGACGGTTCACTAGAAAGGACGTTAGGAGCACGAGCCAAGTGTCAACGACCCTTAGCAGTCCCCGCGTTCCAACGTCCCTTAAGGACGGAGAATTGGCCCTCGAGGTCGCAAGCCGAGCAAGAGAGAGCGTCGTCGGAGGACGAGCGGATTCTCTGACACGATCTTGCGTCTCAAAAGCTCGCACAATGTCATCGATCGAGATGCAAGAGAAGGATTAATAATTTAGTGTAAACTGTTGGGACTTTGACTGCTTTTGGACGGCTCAGAGCTCGAATGCATGAATGAATGAATGAATGGATGGATGAATGAGTGATAGCGAAATTGAATGAAGGGCTGAATGAATGTGCGAGTGAGCAGCACGAATGAGCTCCCGAGTCTCATGAGTCGTTGATATTTAAAACTCCGGTTGGTCATTCGACGTGCGAGCTGCAGCAGCTCAGGCAATGGAGCAGAAGCCACGCAGGCAGGCAGGCAGGCAGGCAGGATGTACATAACTCCCGTGGGATGGACTTGTGAATCCTTGCAGGGCAAGGCAAGGCAAGGCAGGGCATGGCAAGGCAAGGCTCAGGTCCGGGTCCACGAAGTGCAGATAGTTTATAACTCCCCCGTTGAGACGAGCGATGGGAACATGGAGATATTATGGCCTCCAGAGTACAGCGACACGCGTACACCGGGTCCCGATTCATGCACTTTCTGAATGTCCGGACTCCAGATGGCGCCGTGTGCATACGGTGGGTGAGACGGGGAGGTCCACGACCGTGACCCGCCTGCGAGGAAGTAAAAATCCATGGAGGTAAGGAGGTGGAGTTGTTGGAGGTCGAGAGAGAGAGAGAGAGAGGGAGAGAGAGGGAGAGAGGGAGGGATAGAGTGTGAGTGTGTGTGGGTATGTGTGCACATTCTAGGGGCGGCACTCTGTACCTAAATGTAAGTGCATTGCACGGCTCTGAGAAAGAAAGCGTGACTGCGCTTGAGTCAGCTGACTGACTCCCTTGACCGAGACTCGAGAGCAAGGTGCTGGTGGCACTGTAATGGTACCCTTCACGGCAACTTAGTGCTCGTCTCCCTCCCTCTCTCCCTCTCTCCCTCCCTCCCCTTTCACTTCCACATGTCCTGAGAGTTTAGGCCGGGATCGTTACTATACTGCTGCGTTTAATCTGCACCAGAGACCTTGAAAGCGACTCCCAGCAGGACCTTCATCATGTGCCCACTGCCCTTGTCATACATCAAACGTTTCAGAATTAGCATGAACGTACTCCTCTCGTGTCCTATTATGCAGTTGACAACATTTTTATGGATGATTATTGGGCCCGCCCTCCATGACTATGTTGCAGCGAGCGCACGCAGTTTAACGCCCAATGATCATGAACCATTGATCGTGGAGTGGATTTACTGGAAGCCAAGCCAAGCCAAGCCATCCAGCCATGCCAAGTTAAGCCAAGTTAAGCCAAGTCCAGCAGCAGCGCCACCAACAACAACATCCATCAACGTGAACCATGCTATGAAGAGATATCAGTGCCTGCAAGAGCGCCAAGGCTCCAGGTCGAAACGTGCCGCCAAAAGTTGTTTAAAAGAAGAAGTAAGATTCTGAGACAGAGTTCCTGAATCTAATGCTCACTTGTTTCTCTCTCGAGAAGAAATGTACGAACATCTGACAGATGGGATGATTTTACAGGGTCCTGAAGGACAGACGGGTGAACGTAGTAGCCCTTTGAGCTGGTCACGTTTACAGTCTCCAGATATATTGAAATCCTAGGGCTTTCAAGTCTGGAAGCTACTGTCTCGAGTCAAAGTGGAAGGAAATTCGTGCAGCGACAGGGGTTTAATGAACATCTCATAATACTAGAGCGAATGTATCCGAATGGAATTGTATCGAACCAGGGCATCAACCTTAAGCAATCAGAGCAATAACCCACACATTTCTCAGACTCAGAGTTCCCGATTCTGATTTTTGGCCGACTTGTGGCTGCAGCAGGAAGGTTATGGTAGCTAAGGGTATAAACATGAGTCGTGACCGCGGCCAGTGGTCAGCAGGAGGATGGGCTCATGGGGAGGAGGGTGGGGAAGCAGGTCATCTTGTCCAGGACGAGGACTGCATTTCCTCGATCGATCTGACCGCTGACTGGTTGGAACCAGTGGCATCCATGAGCCCCGTCTGCCTTGATGAATACTCACCAATGCCTAGTACGAAGAATCGGCTGTAAAATCATTTCATGCAGTAGAAGCTGCGTCCGCTGTCCTGTGGTACTTTTGTTGGGCCCTGGAAATCATTGAACTCTTCCTGGGCACATTTCCTGGCTCCCTGTTCGTTGAGCTCCACTTCTAGACCATATTCAGAGTTCGTGAGTACTTATTTTAATCTTTTGGTGTACCTTGCATAGATCTCTAAGTCCTGTACCAGCAGTGCGAAAGTCATCCCACGACCGTGGCCTCTCGCTTCCGTTGGTTCAAACTGTGCTCCTTTGTATCGACACAGAACTAAATTATTTAACTGCATGTGACGAATGCCCGCATGACAAACGGTGGGGAGGGTACTGATTGTAGACGCATTTCTCGACCCAATTTTAACGGAGTTTTTTTATTAGTTTTTTATCTGGAGAGCTACAAGCAGCATAGGGAAAGCGCAAAATATTTGGGGCAAATTTCTGAGGATGGCGATAGAGGTTTGCGAGAGGAATGTTGATATTCTCCTCGATGCAATGATGGACTCGAAATGCAATGCAATGAACTTGGAATCAAGTCAACTGTTTCGAGATGTGAGTCAATTCCCCAATTATGTAGAGATGGAAAAAACAAAACGATGACTTGAAAAGTACTCCAGTTTAAAGATCCAGACTCCAGCCACTTCATAGATTCATAACTAGCACAAGAAATGACGTCGAGAATTTCTTGTTGTCAGTAGAATGTGCTTAATAAATATCTACATCGGGAATAAACACCACACAACACGATAGCACATGAACCTGAATATGTACATACGGAATTTGTTATTTGCATAATAAGATCCAGGTGGGGTACAACTGACTCTACTGACCGATGCTGCTGCTGCTGCAAATCGTACTATGGACCGGGGTACCAAACATCGGATCGAGAAAATGTTATACAACCTTTAAGGGAGTACTTTCCAGAATCCTTCAGGAATTGTGAGAACTGGGTTTTGACAACTAACGATGCCAGTTCAAGCAGGCAGTAGTAGGACAATGATTTGGACGTTGTCCTTTTCTGAACAAAAAATGGTCTGATTCACAGCACCATCTTTGAAAGTATCGTACTCCTAAATGTCACAATATCTCACATTATCCCTCCTGTTGCGCTTCCGCAAGGCCTAGTACTCTCCTTCAAAATCTCCAGTGTCCAAATTCTCCTTCGCCTTTATTGCAGGATTTCTTACAAGGCTGGACAAAAGGACAATAATAAATTCATCCCTCAACTTTGTTCGTCTTTCCAAAAGGAGCTTCATTTTGGTATTTCTCTGACCTCCTTACGACAACTTCCATGGAACAAAAACTAGCATAGGTACAGTACCTTCCTCCCTTGTAACCTTTCTCCCTCTTTTTAATTTCTAATTTATTGTGTTTACACCTTTTCAATTCTTTACATCCTTTCTGGCTGTATCACTTCGTTCCCCATTCTTTGACCTTCTCAGGCCCTACAGCATGTCCTTCCTCTTTCTACCCACGTTCCAAGTTGCATGTCCTTGGGGACAGTGAAAATTCACATTTTTGTTTCACGTGTCAACGTGTGAACGTCAACGTGAAAACAATTAAACCGGGAAAGAAGAGCATGATGGAGGAAAAGGGAGGAAAGGAACAAACCTTGCAACCCGCTGGGAAAATAGTACAGAATCTGGGCCTTATAGTGAAGATAAGGCAGATGACAGTGATCCATCAGTCGGATGAATGCGAGAGAGGGACCCAAAAAGAAGAAACAAAAATAAACAATAGATTGGAAATTCATGAACAGGATAGAAGGGAGTGAGTGAGTGAGGGCAGTCGTGGGACAATGATCCTAAATCTTCCTCCAACACTATCCAAATAATCGTTGGACATCATTTTACGGGCACGCCCATTCGTCCAACAGTGGCAGCATAAAACAAGTCGTCCATGGAGCGAATGGGGCTCTGTCGATGTGTTCATGTATCGGGAGAGAAGAATAAGCACCAGCAGAGAAGAGAAGAGACGAGGAGAACACAACAGAACACAACGTGACGGAATGTTGTGCAAGTGTGGATATGATTTGATGGTGAAGATTTGGCACTCAGAGCGATCCATTGAAGCCAAGTCGAGTCAAGACAAAAGATTCACGCTTATTTTGCCCGGTCAATGTGCTTGAGCCAGTCGGAGTCGGACTCGCCCCGGTAGGCCCATACAAGCCTCGTGATCGCCAATCATAATTTCGTTGAATCTCTAATCCCCAACAGCACTGCAACACGCTTTCATGGTCGACATGCTTTTTGTGTCGACGTTGGCGGGCGCAAACCAAAATTAGGAATGCACGGGCCCCTGAGCTCTTCTATGACAAAGCCCTACATCCTCCATCCTTCTAGCTCAATTCCTCTCTCCTGCACGGCCACTTTTCTACATCCCACGGTCAAGAAACTGGATCAACTTTACTTTACTGCCGTAGTAGCCTAAACCCTAAACCTTATTTTTTTACCCTCTGTTCAGTAGCTTATTCTTTTCACGACATGCACTTTCTCAAAGTTCTACAAACCTACGGTACAACTTTAGGACCCAACCGTAGCCGAGAAAAAGGCTACCGAGTAACAAGTTCCCTATCCAATTATCCCCATCGATTGATAATATGGAAAACTCCATGAACACATACCCTGTTTAAAGAAGGGAGAAACATTGGATTTTCCATTACGACATAATTCTCAACCTTTCGGAAAGTTTAATGAGATTCGATGGATCTCAGCTTTATTGCTTCTCACTAATCTCTATTTGGTGTCTGTCTAGATGCACTTGTCATTTGATTGGATCTATGATTTGAGCAAATGGCCATCTATTATGGTACAGTATTCGGAATATAATCGAATGTTTCAACACATGGCACAAAAAAACCCATTCAAGGATCTGTCTATTATAAATAGACAGAGTATCGAGATCTGTTGGGGGATTTTTACCAAGTGGAAACATATTCAATTAACAAAGTATCGAGATCTTCGTATGTGCAACGGAGATATCTTTTATCCTGGTCTTAACGAATATTGACCTCTTTGGAAATATGGGTGTCTGCCCACATTTCCAAAGAGAAGAAGAAGGAAAAGAAAATGAAGTCATTCGTTCTCCTTTGTTCCAGATCTTTTTCAAAATTTGCGCTATCTCTTGCCAACCACCGCTTTGAGTCTTGTGTAAGTTGCCGAGATGAGGATTTTTCATGATGTGCGATGTATCCCGTTCGCAACTTGCAACACTTGCGAGTAGAAAGAAGGCCAGATAGGAGGTTTGTCTTCATGATGATCCGATGACCTCGGTTCATCATATTTTGGAAGAGGCGTCAGAATAGACTTATGGCAAACTCTACGGCAGTTCCGGCCATGTTACAACTACAATCGCCTACCTAGCCCTAAACGCAGTTGCATGCTCTCGATCTGTCTATCGAACTCCTTTTCCCTCATCGAAGTCTCGAAGCCGAAGCATGAGCTCTTCTTGACCTGTCTTCTATTTTGACGTTTCCTCAGTTTCCAGCAAACAAAAAGTACCCTTCCTTTTCTCCGGTTCTCCCGTTCACAATACGTCCATCGTCCTCCGTGATCGACATCACGTCGTCACCGCAGAGCCCTGTCTTCCTCGGAACTCTAAACTCTAAACTCGAAACTTCGCCCAGCGCTGTCGATCGACACCCTTTCGAAAAATGGATCTCTTCCATCCAAACGAAAAGCCTCCTCGTTCTCTTCACACTAAAACCGAGCCACGAGAAAATTCTTCTTGAACTACCCACAATTGATTTCATCCCGTTCGCAAATTCCGACCTGCTGCTGCCGTACGGGACGCAGAAATCGATGTCGAGTTTGTTCAGGGTTAGCAAGGCGCAAAAGCATCATCATCCCATCGTGTTTACGGGGACTCCAACAACCAAATCTAGGCTCGTGAAATGCGTTCCCTTCTTCTTCTTCCCGATGACGAGAAAAAGGAGGAACCTTTCTGAAAAGCCTCTGACGGCATCCTAAAAGGGTTTAGGGTTTAGGGGAGGGAATGAACTTGACGCAGTTCAGTTGACGAGTCCGCGGTAAGGATCTGTTCTGGATCGAGCACAGTCGAAAGGGCCCAGGATCCTACAACTACGAGACAAAACCTGCCACGTCCGCCTGTCAACGTTCGGCGCTTTTCTCCCGGCAGCTTCTGCTTGGCCTCGCGGTTCGGAACTTTTTTGGCGCTCTCTGCCCGCGCCTCGGCCCTTTTTCTTTTCTCGCCTGCCCCTGCCCTGTTCGGTTTTCCTTCCTCTGTGTCAACGCGATGATTACCCCCTCGCTTTTCATTACCTCAATGCTTCTTTCGATCACTTATTTTTACGTTTCCGATTTTGATGACAACAATTTTTCGGATACGGGACGCTGGAGGGATTGGGAAAAGAAAGTAAAATAAATGAATGTTGTTGTTCTATGACTTTCCTGTGAATTCACGTCTGTTTTGGGTTTCCTCAACCTCGATATTTTCATTTGTTGGATCACTTGAAGAATATGGATCTGTGTGAAATTTCAATTTCGTATCCTGTTTTCGTTTTCATAAAGTCAAATAAGAGTGATGCATAAAATAGCAAATTAGTGAACTATAAAATAACAAAGATCAAGATGAAAGGAACATTTTTAACAGTATATCATTTTGTTAATATTCTTATTTCCTAAATGTGAGTATTTCATTATCATAAATTCAAACCCAACTCAAATATAAAGTAAAAAGTATTGAAAATTTAGGTACTTATTAATCAAAATGAGATCTAGAATGAAATAAAATTGAGAATATATCAGTTTCTTAATATTTCCTAATTGCGAGCAACTCACCTCCCACACAGTTCTTAAAGATGGGTAATGTGATCCTGATGCGGGAGTTGGCGATGTCATGGAGCATTTTATTTGGAGGTAGATCTGCATTCCTTGGGTGCAAAACCATAGCCAGGAGCTCTTTGGCAGCCATAACGGAGGTTAACAGAACGCTGCAGAATTTTTCATCTTGCAGGCTGTTCGGTCAGTTGTGTGCATTAGATTGTTGGGACCGAGCAAGAGAGACATCCCAAAGCTGGTACGCCAGAAACACATGAACCTGAAACATGTAGCACATGGCCTATCGATTTATCGATCTATCGACATATCTATATTTCGGATCTTCTCTTTCCTGTTTCCGCATGGAGCGCGGCCACATGCCACCTCTTGTACTTTGCCTTTGTGAGCATTTTCTATGAGAGGCATGCATGTCCATGTGGGGCCGTCGAATGAAAAGCAGATTCCGCTTTTAGAAAAGCCAGACTATTCACCATCCCATTTGACTTGCGTATTCATGTAGGCGTTACTGGTGGAATATAAAGAAGGGTTTACTGCGGGCATTTTTGAACCCTTCCTCGACGGAAACCTTCGCAATCTTTTGTAACATTTGGATCCGCAAAAGCTTTACTGCAACTTCTGTAGATTTAGACATTGTTTGTTTCAGACTTTTATAACTCATAAATCCTTACAAACTCCGATGGTAAAATCGAGTGAGAAGCTTCAAGACAATGTTTCTAGGAACACCTATGTTAGCTTGTTTGTGGGCCAACTTTTGCAAATACCCACCAATTAAACTCATGAAACTTTGCCCTTGTTTGCGAATCAACCTGTAAATGAAAATGATTTCTTGAGATGATATGAGAAGGATGATATGGGAATGTGTTGAGATAAGGACTTTTTTATGGAAATTGTTATTTGAGAAAAAAGTATCAAGAAACCAAATCACGTTCATGTGTGCAAAGGATAATTTTGAAGACACTCCAGCTTGCCTCAAAAGGAGCAACGTCAATTTCATCCTAAACTTAGCCTCGTGCTCGAAAAACTCGGTGCATGAACCATGCTCCACTCGTGACAAACAGGACAGGATAGATTTTATGTGTCCGTATCGACTCTGAATTTACATGCACCTATTAAGCAATATATTTTCCTTTGTGCTCACAGGGCTTCAAGCACATGTGAAAACGACCGTAGACCAATATTCTAACCAAACTAGTCCATAGAAACAAAAATCAAACCAAAGGACCTAGTAAAGTACGTAAGCAACAGTTACTAAATGTGCATGTACGATTCATATCCAAGTGAAGTATTGAAATTTCATTACATTTCAAAAGTCACTATTTTTTTAAAAAGAACTTCTCACACTTTAATATTTATATATCAAAGCACGAAAACATTATATGAGAAGATAAATTAAATCTCTCAAAAAGAAAGTAGACGCTTTGAGATCTGAAATCAAAACATAAATTCCTTACATATTTTGTTCCTTCCTTTGCAGGTTGCAAAACATCTCATGTCACACACTCTCTCACATGTAAAAGTGGCTTCCTTGAGCTCCAAATAACTTCAAGTTGCTAGGAAACTTCAAGTTTTTAAGAGAAAAAGTCTTTTATGTTCTAAGAATACGCAGACAAAAAAATCATTCTTCAATTTCATCAATACATTTTGAAAGATGGGTTACTTCGAATCACAAAATAAGAAGATACATACATTTTCCAACAAGCTGAAAATGTTATGAGTGTCATCTTTCATCAATAAGAAAAAAAAGTGGTTTTAAGTAGAAAATAAATCTTTCATAACCTCGAGAGTCAAGGGCGGTTTATGTCACTTAAGAAAACTGCATTTTTCCTGTCAAGTGTGACAAATAGCATGTGAAGCAATATCTGTATAGGTGTATTTGAAATCAATACTATTGTAGAGAATATCAAACTAAGCATGAAAATATCACAGCAATACATTCATTAGAAAACATTTCTTTGCAACAAGCTATACAAAATATGCAGGTAGAGTGAAACAAAAGTCTCAAAGCCAGATCCAACTATCACTCTGAAAATACTTAAGTTATGTCGGACACCCAAAAATAAAGACAGAAAAGCTCTATAAATTACATTAAAATTACCCCAAGTGAGCCTCTGGTGGCGCAGTAGTAGCATGAGATCGGATCGTAGAACAAAATAGGGACTCCTTCATGCCTTGTCGATAGGTACAAAAAACTATGAAACTTACTACGATCCAAAAATAAAATACTTGAAAAATATTCAACGCTAAAAGTTTCGAATTACAATCATCGAGCGGAATTGGAATTAAGGAATGCGTCCCCTTGTTATGGGAAACAAGAAGGGGCGTTCCAGAGAGAAATTCCATGCAGATGTGGAATGTCCATTCACGGCAAGAATCCTGGAAAGCGCGGAATGAATCCGGGAGGAAATCGGGTCGCCCAGTGGGCCAGGTCAGAGGGCGGAATAATATTCATAACCTCCACAGTGACAGGTTCTGACAAAAGGTTTCCTTTCCGGGTAGATTCCCGGAAACATTATTTAATACGCGCTCGAATGTGACTCGGCCTGCACTGTTAAGAACCCCGCACAGTAAGAACACTCGCTGCGCCCGCTCAGGCTTCGAGTCCACGTTCTCGTAACATCTCCGAGCGTTTCGATACAAGAACGTACGTGGATCATTAGCCATAACAACAACTTGCGCTGAGGAGGCGCCAGTCATGAGTACGTGGCCGCGGCCATTCTGAGCGTCCGTTGGCGATCGGACGGCGGACGTCAGAGCGCTCCAGATGCGAGCCCAAGATCTCTTACATTTTGTGGGTGAGGCATTAAGACCGCTTCTGTTTTATCCGGCTCGGCTTTTGGTTACAGGAACACGGTTGCGTTTTGCTGTCGGATGTCGTTCTTATGTCGGATGTTACGAGTTCCTGTCTGGGAATAATTTCTTAAAGTGTCCCAGATTCATGGAAAGGACCGGTTTGCCACGTCGGTTTCGGATAATCGTGGCACTTACTCGCTGGTCTTCGAAGTTACCCACGTGAAAGGTCCCGGCGCCTTCACCCCACCGAGCGCACCTCCGGATTGACCTCCGGATACTTTCCCAGGGCTTCTGCTAACCTGGTACGGCGTTCGAACCTGGTGGCGTCCACCGGGCAGGGTCGAGCGTGTGGAGATTCCGGGCTCTTCGGCCATCGCGGGCCTGCTCCTGCTGCTCTAGAGAGAGAGTGAGAGAGAGTGATCCGCGATCAAGAAATGCTTCAAGACGTTCCGTTACGATGGGAGGAGGACGAAGGCTGGACTCTCGGTCTCTAGAAGGTTCGGCGGCGTATATAACTCCAGAGGGCTCGATGGGTGTCGAGGTTTCTTTCATCTCCTCGCTATGGGTGGAACTCTGATGCGGAAGAGGAGCAGATCACGTTTCTTTCGTTGTGCGTCACATGGCGATGCAACTCTACGTCTGAAGTCGCCAAAAGAACAGAAGGCGGGTAGACGACAAGAGAAACTCTTGTAAAGAAGAGCGCGAGCTGGACGGAAGAAAGCAAAACGAGTACAATATTCTTTTTCTGAAAGAGGCTTCTTTGATTGATGTGTCTTTTGAGGGAGGTGAGTTTAGTGGTACCGCATCCTCTCACGATTCCGAGGATAATGTAATTCATGTGAGTTATTTCTTGGAAATACTTATCCGTAGTTCAATAATGATGAAGGGTTGTAGCAGGAGTATGGTCATTCATCTTACCCACGATAGATCGGGAAAGTTCTTTAATGCATTCCTGAAAAGTTTCTTATCGACACGAAGTGTCCGCTGAAGTGGGCATCATCATCCATGAAGAGATTCGAGATTCATGATCATTCTTAGGCGTTCTCTGGACGGACATGTGACTCCACCTTTTACAAATTAAAAGCTGATTACCCCAATCATTTGAGCTGATTTATCTGCTGAGATACCAAGTAGTATTGGTCGATTTCAAGACTGACTACTAGTACCTCATCATCCCATACTACGTCTGAATTAAGGCATTTAAGTCTCTTTTGAGTACTCAATGACTTTAATGTCTTATAAAAAATCTCAATATAATTTTTGAGCTAACTAGACATAGTATTATGGTCCAAATATTTGACCCCAATTTTCACACGAGAAGAATACTTGCATTGAATGAAACTGCTCATTCTGCTGAAATCCAAAACATACAACAGAGAAAAAATAGCAAAAAAATTTTAAATTTAATCCTAAAAAACAATCTTACCATGTATTGTATCCGCAGATGTCTGGAAACATAATAAGTTTGTTGGACTGTGAGAATTGGAATAAGATGGAATATGATAAGACAAAATACATGAAACTATGCAACTAAACTCTACATTATTGCACTATAGCAATGATCTAAACGCCTTCATTCAAATTTAATTTTGAATAACCAATTACTAGTAGTTTTAAGGAATTAATTTACGATATTATCCATAATTTTCGTATATTTGGAGTATTTTACACTTAGATACAGTAGAAGGATTCAAGTTTCTAGATGAATAAAGTTTGAATTAAATTTTAAGTCTAAACTTTAAGTTTAAATTTTTGAAACTTGAAAATAAATTCCAATTTCAGACTAGGCTCGATCCTCGCCAATCTCGTTGGAGGTGCTTTGCAATGCAAAGCGCTATCCCAACAGCGGACACTAAGGTGTTCATAGTCTCACTTCCGGAAGGCTTTTCCTCAGGTTGAGTGCCAACATTAGACGAGAATATCCACCCTCCTACTCTTTTCTTAGTAGATCCCCTTCATCGAAAGCGAAAAGGAATAAGACGGATTGAGACAAAACGGATGTCTGCATCAGATTGAAGGAAGGAGAGAAGTAAATAATGTGAAAGGGTGTTTGCAAAAGAAGAAGCAGGTCAAAGAAGAATATCCTTCCCTTCCATCTAAATATTTCTTTCTAACACAAACATGTGGCAAGCGAGAGAATCATATGAAACGAAGAAGCACGGACATATGACAAATTGCAGGACTTTTCAGAGCCAAAAGACGGAGTCGAGTATTTGAGCTACGCAAGCAACAACAGGGGACTGATTCTTTGGCCTCCAGGGAGTTGCACCCCATTCCGCAACCGGCAGGGAAACGTGTTGCGCTGACCTCACTATACTGCCGCGGCAAAACCCCGCGCAAAATGTTGTCACGGGTGGGCTTACAGTGTTAACTCCCGCCGGCCTGCCTGCGTGCGTTAAGACGAACGTCGTCGCTGTCGCTGCGTTGCGTCGCGCCGGGTTGGGTTCGGTAGAGTGGTAGGGCCGCGAGGGTGGGGCCACTGTGGTGGGCCTGGGCGATGTGATGTCAGATCGCGAAACGTTACCACGGTCCGCCAACTTACCATGTAGGGAACCGGACGCAGACGGAGACAATCTCAGGGAATGGGATATTGCGCGCTGCGACTAGACGGGACGATTCTATCCGAAGGGCGCGGACGGGGTGAAGGCGAATTTTACCGACGGGGGGCCGGGTAATTACTGCCTGCTCTGGGTCGCGCTGATCTTATCCTTGTGGCGTGACTGTATAAATAGGCGCGGTTGAGTCGGTCATTTCCCGGCGCACCTTTAATCGATCTATCTTCAGAGCAGAGCCTGAGCAGAGAGAGAGAGAGAGAGAGTAGCAGCAGCAGAAGCATATGTATGCGCTGATACTGCATCAGAGAGCAGAACTTCGAGAACTCCTCTAGAGAGCTTTCTTGTCTTGAGTCAGACATCTATCGAGAACGTCTCGTTTGATTTCGTGCCGTTTTCCGAAGCAATCGATCGAGCGATCGGTGAACACTGACGAAGGGAGGTTCCTTTAGTGCTAGCTACGAAGAGAAACGTGAATTTGAAGGAAGTACAGTGCAGTGCCGTCGTCCAAAGAGTTGTAAAGAGCGTGTTAAAGAAAGTATTTGTATACACAGAAGAATCCAGAGAACAGAGCAATTTAGTCCGTGTCATTTCTCAAGCAGTTGATCAAGTAACAATGGGTCTGTTAGATAAGCTCTGGGACGATGTTGTGGCTGGACCTCAGCCCGAGAAAGGTCTTGGAAAGCTGCGTCAAAAGCAGGCTGCTCTTCCCGAAGGTGGGTTTTGGTTTCCTTTGCGGTAACCAGTGTCTTCTGTTTGTTCTCACTAGCTTCCAGCAATACGATGACATTCGTGTTGTTTTCATACATCGCCTTTTAAGTCTGGAAGGGGAACGTACTGTAGTGGCGCAGTATATCTTCGACGGGGATTTGGTCTTGAGCTCCTTGTAATGCTACCTTGTACATGCGTCGGACTAACATATGTGTTTGTGCTTAATCAGATGACGAGGTCCAGAGGATGATGAATCGTCGCCGCAGCGGAGAGTATCAGAGTAAGGAACGAGAAGCTCGTCGTATCACACAGAGCATCTCCATCAAGAAGCCCCCCATGTTGCAAACTCAGCTTGACGGGGGCGAGTCTCCCCTTCCGTCACCCGGTGGTGTGGCGTCGAGCCCTCTAGCCTCTCCTGGTGAGCACCGAGAGTTCTTTCTCCGCATGTAATTTGGCTCACGAGTTTGCATGATCATTTTGCCGATGCACATTAGAGTTTGTCTGGTAGTTTCACACAACAAAGACTCAACTGAACAAATTTATATCGCATCAACTTTGAGTGCGGGTTTAGTACATGAAGCTTCTCAAATCTATAATGCCGTCCAATCTTGGTCATTGGTTCTCTTCTGAGATAGAAAACATGACCGTCTCGAAAATACGACACTCATTTCGTCGTGACCGTGATGCAGCCACGAGGGAGAGGGAGAACATCTGGCGGAGTGTCTTTCATCCCGGTCAAAATAAAGCACTCGACAGAATGGGCTCCGCTAAGTTTGACAACGTGGCTTCGAGTCCCAATTCGCCGACAGTCTATGACTGGTAAGTGTTGTATCTGAATTTTGTTGTTAAGGACTAGATTTTGATTCGAGTTGTTATGATTTCGCCAGATGAATGTTCCTTTACCGTCTGGTGACGATGTTTTGATTGATATAGAATGGCACTGTCTTGTATCTATGAACTGCAGGGTAGTCATATCTGCCTTGGACAAATGAGGAGAATGGAGCATCGTGGCTCTGAGTCCGAGGCGACCATTGTCCTCGAATTGGGCAGTCTAGCTTTTTGTAGGAGCGCATGTGCATAGTACAGTCGATATCCATGTGCGGCCCCCCCTTGTGAGCGGGGCGCAGTCGTTGCCTGGTTTTCAGTGAGTATGGCGAGTAATTTGGCCTATCGTACGTGTGCTGCTCGCCATGCTTGGTGCAGGCTTTACAGTGGGAACACTAAATCCCAATGGCGGTAAGCTGATTCTTGTCCTGTGCGAGCGTCATAGCGCCTGTTAGAACGTGAGATATTTTGCTCAATTTGGAGTGTCAGCGGCTTCCGAATTGAAGAGCAGCGCAGGGTGTAAAATACAGAGGGGCCTGTATGTTGGAGCCCTGGGAGGCGAAGATGAATTGCGACTTTTTTGCTGTCGTTGGAGAGAAAATTTTGCTTCTTGTTCTTGACATTACACACTGAGGAAGGAGGAGCGCGCAGGAGTATCACTGTAAATTTTAGATAGAACGGCAGCAGTTGTAGCTCCTACGGGGGACTGTGGATGGCCGACACTGTGGATGATGACGAAGTGAGGTGTAAGCTGCTTCGTATTGTATAGGTACAGTAGTACTGTATATTCAAACTGTAATCGAACATAAATCTGAACGTAGTGTGCATGGCCTTTGGCCGTCGTGTTCAATACCGATAAGGGTAGAAGCAGCTGCAGTGGAGCGTTGATAGTTAGCTATACACCATGTCTGTATGATAGTAGCAATCTTGACCGATCGCCGTCATGTTTGCCCGACTAGGGAAACTATGTCCGTGAGCGAAGAGAATGTGAGTTTTGTGTGATATCATCCATCGGTGTGAGTACCCGTGTTTCATACCAAGACTTTATAAAAAAATCCCTGTTTGAAATTGTAAACGACTGTGTGCAAATTGCTGTCGGTGAATTGATTGCGGCATATAAAAACGAACTTTGAACGATTTGGTGTACTTGCTGCAAAATTTTGATGCGGATTTGTTTTGAAGCCGAGAATAGGATTATGCAGTTGGGACGCTGACACCTGTTGCCGATTAGAAGTTTAAAATATGTAGTTTGAATGACTTTGATGTGCAAATAGAATAGACATGTTTTGAATCGGCGCCTTGTCATGTCTCTTCTCAGCGCACATGTTGCACTAATCAGTTGGCAGCTTTGTTTTGAATATAAAAAACTGCCCCAAATGAAAAAATATAAAAATGTACTCTTTTGTGGAACTAAGAATGTTACATCACGCTCGTAACCACCTTATTTGTTACATCTTCCGATTTTCCGATGGATGATTAGAAAAAGCGAAGCAATAAAGAGTATATTTTCGTCTTGACATGTATGGTTACATAATCTACACCATATCTGTATATTTGCAACCCAATATTGTATGATAAATTTTAAAGACATGAAGCCGTGAATGAGTATGAAGCTAGGTGAGCGTAAGGTAAAAGTGTAAAGTTCTCGTCTCATCATGAAACAGTGATCATGCGGTGCTGAGAAATTTATGGGCGTGCGCACAACATAGGTAAAAGAGTATTTTGTTCAAATTACATACCCGTATGATAACTTTCTTGTCAAGCGCAGTAATTGAAAAAATGGCAGAAAATCTCACCATTCGAAGGAAATATATATCAAACTTCAAAAGGATGCAAAACCAAATTTTGAAAACATAAGAAGCTAAACTGATTATGTTGGAGAAAAAAGATAATAAATATATGATTTTGAAAAAATGAAAAAAAAAGTTCGTTTCTAACTCAACAAACAAAAACTAGAGAGAAGGAGAGAGAAAGTTTGACTAAATCATAATCGAGAGATTGGATAGTACTACGGAATGGAATCCATCGAGGCTGGAAATGTAGATGTGAATTTGTTTGAGGAAATTTGAGATAGTTAGTTACTTCAGAGTTAGTTCCTTGCTTGTTCCATTCATGGATCATAGAAGACGAAATATATGCAGATTTGGTTGACAACCTTCAAGATTTGATGGGAGAAAATGTAAACTCCCCATGCATAGGTTTTCGGAAGTGTCAACAGTTTATTAAATCACACAATGGTTTCTTAATTCAGTTTCTGGTTATTTTTAGTCAAATTAAGTATGGTTAGTTACATAAGGTTCACAACTACTGTAAAAAAATAGTCACATTAGCTTTATGTGATACAATTAAAGTTTCAATGACATGAAAGTGTGTATTGTGTACCATGCACAGATTGACTAAGTTGAATCACGAATGTATGAATCAGTATTCAAAATATATACAACAAAAATACCAACAAATCCTCAAAAAATGAAATCTTGTGTAGATGTACAACTGAAGTTTGCTATAGCAATGAATGTAGAATAGCATCATTAAACACTTACTGAAATTAAAATTGTAATATTATTTTCGTTTTAAATAATGCTATTGTTAGCTCTTGGATTTCATTTTTGAAGAAAATACTTTTATTTATATACTTTCTTGATTTATCGTAAGCAGAACTTGAAGACAATATGAGTTTTAATATTTTAAATAGTATGAAATAATTTTTGGACTATAGATTTTAGGTAAAAAAATATTGTCTAGTTTTATATAAGAAAAGTTATTTCACGTCCTGCCCGTAATAAGTCACTTTAACTTTTTTAGCTATAAGATATAGATAATGTAAACTGTTATCATCGCAAGAACATTCTCAAGGTCTACTGGTCATCACTATAGTCTCATTGTGAAAAAAACAAAGATGTACCGAACGCTGATCAAATCCAACCGCACTATTACAACACACAATAGTAAAATTACTCCAGAAACCAATGTCAACCCTTACACAGGCGCACACCAAGAAGTAAGACTAGAGAGTATCCAAACATAATCAAATAACTAACAACGACTCTATAGTCTAAAAGAAACATAACACAAAACAACACAACACACAATACATCACATTGCATAGCAATCCCGATTCGATCTTCATTGCTCCTTGTCACCTTCCGCATACAGCATTTGCAATGCAATTTCGTTCATCAAATTGCAAAGAGAAAATCCACGCGGTGTCATACTCCACTTCACACTTCGAACTGGTGCATAAAATATGAAATAATCTTTTTGTACTTCGGTTCAAAAGATGAAAAGAAATCATGATAGAAATTATACTAACCACTGAATATCGTAATATGTCTTTGATCACGATAACTTTAGTACAGTAATTTTAAACTTTAAGATTATATGAGTGAGATTGAGTTCAAACTCTTGGTCTCTTCAAAATAGGTTTTCTAAATACTAGATGCTAAATCTCTTTTCTTTGTTTACTTTTTCTTCTCTACTTGTTTTTTTTTGTAGATTCACACTGATTTCATCAAGACAATTATGTATGACGATTTTACAAACATAACTACAAATTTTGTTTGCAAAGAGCCATGATACTACTCTTGCTAACAAAACTTTCTACCACTATAATCTCAATAAATCTAAATTGAAGAATGTTGAATAGAAAGACTTCATGATATGATTGATTCTTAATTACAAGATAGTCATATACTGGAGCTCAAGTGATTTATGAGTTATTGGAATGAAAAGTATCGTGTAAACTCCATTGGTCTTAAACGCGAATATCAAATCAAACCAAATCCACTACGCACCTTGGAGATTCTATGTCATCCTTAGAATATCATAATATGCACCTTGGAGATTCTATGTCATCCTTAGTATATCATAATATGCACGATTATACTATAATACAATAATGATCTAATCTACATTCTATCTAATATTAATTCAACTAAAATGAATTTTAACTCACTTAATTATGGACAACACATTTACACAAGTTTTTTTTTCAAATTTTAGATTTTTTTAATAATATAATAAAAATGTAAAAACAATAATTTAAACATAACTAAATCTTCTCATGCAAGTTGTACATAGTAACCTCCAATGTATTAGGAAGTGGTCACTAACTCGTAGGAGACTTGTGAAAGTTTTCATGTGCATTCCATTCCAGTCCCGAAATAGTTTCCCATTGTCGGGCTATAACGTGGCTGAACAAGTGGCTTTCTATTTCGGTCGGGGTCGACCACAGGACGCAGTGGGCAGCAGTGGCGATGGCGACTCCGACGTTTGCAGATGTTTCGACATCGTTCGACGAGCAAACATTGCCATGAGAATCGGCACACCGATCGCTGGAGCCTCGCGCTGACCTCCGCAACGAGTGCATCACACTCGGGAGCTATATCGCCGAGTACATGGTGGAGGTGCGATGATGAAGGAAATTCGTGTTCTTCGGATGGTGCCATCGAGCAAGGATCGAGTGGAATCGGCATTCCATCAAGCAAGGGGGAGCCAATCCTGGCCCCCATGGCGATTCCTCCATCTACCTACTGTCATCCGTGTCTGCGAGTCGAATCTTCAAAAAAATCCCAGGTCGTGGGTCCAGGACGACATTGACTTACCCGCTCGTTTGAATCCTCGAGCTTTATCTGCCTTTTGGTAAACTTTCTTCCGAGCTCGAGCAGGTTAGAGAATCAACCTCCGAGCGGCTAGCTGCAAAATTCAGATAGAACCTCGACGACCTACTTCTCCAGATTAGAGCTCACTTGTTTTCCCGACTGATTACGGTGCCGGTTTTCATTTCCTGGATAGGCCTCGCATCCGAAGCAGCCATAAGCATGGCGGTCTTCGAATTTAAATCTCCCGAATTCTTCCGCGCTTTCGAGATTCCCGTCCCACTGTCGTTCCCAGCCTGCCCGAATCCTATGGTTTGACGTTTCTGCATCGAACTCCTCATCGACAAGAACAAAAGTCCACAGGCAGCCACCACCATTGGCGGAACCTCTGCGGAGCCGAGATTGGGAATATGTTCTAAGCCATTCTCACGATCTGATCATGTGATTGAGCTCGCTTGCTTTCACGAGAGATGATAATTTTCCTTCTCTCTATTGGAGGTTGAAGAAGATGGAGAGGAATATAGAACAGCTTTGGTTCAATCTCGGACAAAATTGTGATGATTAGTGATCGATATTCTCCACCAATTTTACTCTCCAATTCAACGAGTGCTGAAGCAATTCTAGACTATAAGAAATCGAAAATGAAATCTCGCAATTGCAGCCGCGACTACCGATAGCAAAGGTCGAAAGTTGGACTTGCCGAAAATTCCTCTGCACTAGAGGATCAAGCTCAAGGCTGAAGGGGAGATCCAGGCCGTGCGAGCATCTAATTCCAAATCGAATAGTTTTGACCTTTCTGGCACTCGTAACAGAATGTAGAAGCAATGTGTTCTCGGCGATAGGCGGATTAATGAGACAAGCGAGCAAAATTCCAGACAGTCCGAAGTCTCCCGATTGAGTCCGCTTCCCGAGCCTGGCACTTCTTCTTTGGACCTCAGAGTTTTGTCTTGCCGCGGGAGATCCACTCGTCGCAGAGCAGAACGATCGGAGCCCGAGACTCAGAATATTCAGCATTTTCCTTCGCGTAGTGTGAAACATGGCTTCCATCTCGCAAAATGTGCAGGGAATAGCTAAAGAGTCCGAGCAGAGCCAAGCCCAGCCCAGCCCAGCCCAGCCCGAGGCCGAGAAGATTGGACCAAGTCTGCCCATGAACCTGTACTTGCCCTTGCTCGGCAGCTGAGCTGAGCTGAGCTGAACTGAACTGAGGTCAGCTGCAGTGCACTCGACGGCAGAGGAGCTGAATGAGCAGCATTCGATGAAGTCCGTGGAACGATTCGTCGGTATGGAGGCAGAGGTGATGCCCATGACCTGGACAGCCTCGAGTGGTGGGCTCTCACGCACCAGGGTCCAATAGCGTGCACACTTCCGCATTTTCGGATGCCCAGAGAGAGGGAGAGGGTCTCAGAGAGCAGCACTCCAGCACTCCTCTGCTTTCAGAAGCTTCGTGGCGGTTCTGTGCTCTCGAGATTTCAGACGAGACTGTTGACGACCAAAAACTTTGGTTCCGGGTGTCACCTGTTGACTACAGCTCTCCGGCTCTCGAGGAGCAGCTCCCCGATTCCAAATTTACACATTCTTCCGTCCGAAGCCCAATTCCGGTTCGGGTCGCTTGCTCTGAAAGGCTACTAGAAGGAGATTCGGCCATCGCTGTGCAGAAGCCCGAGGTTGTCTGTCGCCCTGACATGGTTCTGGAAATACGACAGCACGTCACGCCCGCCGAGGCCAGCAGTCGCTTACTCGGTCCACTCCTCATCACTTGCTCTCGTGGATGTGCAACTTCCTCGCTTGGTCGAAATTGACTCACACCCGTAGACGGTTTTGGAAGCTGTCCGTGTTTTGTCATTCTCTTTTGAACCTCGATCACCTTCTGATATCGAAAGATTGAATGAGAACCAACTCCAAGCAACGATTGAAGGCTGCAGACTGGAATATCCAAAAGACAACTATTTGGAGCAGTGATTAACGAATTTGTCGCTGTGATTTTTAGAATGGGAGGAAGGAAGCAAGGAAAAACGGGTTGAGAGATTTGGCAATCAGTTGCTTTCCAAAGTCTGACTCTCGATGAAAATCAGTAGAAACTGCAACTGTATGCCGTCGGTGCTTCGTGTCGAAACAAATGGTCTGAACACCGTCGAGATTCAGCAGCAGCGACAAAACATGGACCGACCTCGATCACGAAATAAGTAGAACCAAAGAGGGGACATTCAACTGGTAGGTCTCAAAGTGTCGGTGTGTGCGCATCAACTTTATCGCATACTCCAGCACTTGAAAGCTTTTACTTCAACTAGTACGTTGTCAGACTCAACTGTGCTCAATGCTACATGATTATAATAGTAGCCCAAACTCCTCAACTGTCATTTTTGTGGATGATTTAATCCTAGAAATGTTTGGTTCGGTTATATGCTTGACCTCAATTGGAAGAACCCAATGAAGAAACTATGGTAGCAGGAGGGAGAGACAATGACGTCAGAGACTAACTCAGATATGCTTATGAGCTCTTAAACCCTTGGAACGAAGATGTAATATAAAGTAATTATATATTACAACTGATTGACGAACCGAAATTTTGAACCAACTCAAACAGATCAAATTGTGTGCAATTATGTCATAAGAATAGTTGCTCGCGGCTGCGACTGCATAAGCTCATAAGTACTACATAGAAATAAGCTCTGTACATATAATGTAGTATGAGAGAATTTGGTTAATTCCTACTTGAGATACACTTGGTGAGTAAAGTAAGAAGATTGTAGACCTAGATTACACATAAACTGTATGTCATAACTTCTCTATTTATCAGTAAGAATTATCAAATTTAGTGGTTATGATCAGCCAACACATAGTCACACATGTAAAAGTAACATGGATAGCTGCAGAAGACATGGATTCTCCGAAGGGGCATGAAATCACATTCTATGCATGACAACAGCCCGAAAGATCCATATTGAAGAAGAGGGAATCTGTCTGTCCCACGAACAAGAAGAGTAGATGAAGAAAATTATTACAATATATAGCAACAAAGAAAAATAATCCTCAAAAGAATCCACAGCACAAATAGGAAGTAATTGGAACTCGTGGATACTCGTAGGTGGAAATTCTGCGCTGCCTTGTGTCTCGGTGACAAGCAAGACAGAAGGCAATCCAGGTGTTGGAAATTTATGGAGCCAAACTTTGTCCTCTCCTGAATCTTCATGAACCAAGTCGTGAATGCTGAAGGTCGGACCTGATACACGGAGCAGTACCAGTTCTGGGCCAGCAGTTGGGTCACATGCTGCAGCATCGTTCACACAACTTTCTAATTTAGAACGAGACAGAAAGTAGTCTGTGGATGGACAAAAGGGGTCCCGAGGTGATATCATAATGATAGGAAACCCTCTCGATTACACATGGGCAAATACAGCTCAGCTTAGCTCGCAGTGCCCATACTGCTTTCCCTATGTACATGTTCCTGGCGAAGAAATCGGAGAATATTATAATTAACAGATTAACAAATCACGTACACGTGAATTCAGCACTCGTCACACTTGTTCACTTCTAGCATAGGAGTACAGTATGACTTGTTCGGATTCTACTGAATGAAAAGATAGTTTTGTGAGCTCATTCCTGAACGAAATTGGACGCATACTTCGAGGTGGATACAACGGAGGCTTCTTCAAGAAGAGGTACCTGCACTCTCGGTGGACTGCTGCCATATATATATATATATATATATATATATATATTAGCGCTGCTCGGGGCTGATTACATTCTTCTCGATGGTAACTACAGCAATCCGGGCTGGCATGGAAAGAGATGTGATTTCACGAAGTCTTCCGGTCCTTCATAATCATCTCTCATGGATTTCGCCCGTAGACCTGGTCTTATCAGTCTAACACGTAACTGAAATGGAATCTAAGCTCACTGGCTTTGCGCTCAGCTCCTTTGTCTGATGCATGTTTGATTCCATGAGGCAGTTTCCGCTACAGAGCATCGAGGGAATTATCACTTTGTCCCGACTCTAGTCCTTTCAAGTGTCCACTTTTACTCTCCTCAAATGAATAACGAAATCAAGTCCTTTCAAGTGTACACTTTTCTCCTGAAATGAATAACGAAATCAAGGGAGATATCAGACTTTGTGATGAGAGTAAATTTCACTTTTTCCTCACTCTATTTCTTTCACGTGTCTACATCTAATCTACTCGCGTGAAATGCCTAACAAAAATACTAGATATTAGAAATGCATATTAAAATAAATATAAAAATCTGAATAATAAAGACAAAAACAATATCTCATCGTTGAACGCTATTTATCTTTTATATATGTAATATTGAAAAACTTGAGGTCAAAATAAATGTATATAATACATATAGTATTCTTCATTTAACATATTAATTGTAAATTTTAATATATCTACGAGAACACATGGGTTAGTCCACATCTTTGATCACATTTAACGTGGATTGATCTCAATTTGGATTTTGGTCTCCTGACTATGTGACAACTCCACTAATTTAGCCTCTAATATTTCAAACATCCTACTTTAAATCAAGTTCCTTTCCATATCACTATATTTATACGGATGACAAAAGATTAACGTATCACTAGCCAACTCTATTCGAATGTTTGGTTTAATCAAAATACCAAATTTCTTCATGTTGAACGCAAAACAATTACTTTATGCACATAGGATTTGTATCAACATCTTCCAAAGAATTGGTACGACTTTCCGTACCCTCCTTTGGACCAACCTCCACGTGAGAAACTCCTCCAACTGCATAGACTACAACTCTAGCACGCCCTCTCGTCATGTCTCAAGAACTCAAAGAATGACGAATATCTTGTTTGTCGTCTTGAGCCATTGGCTCTACCGTTCAGGTAAGCAATGAACAACCTAGTAGTGTAGAAATCACTAAATCATAGCAAAGATGTCGTTGTTAAGCCAAACTCATGCTCACAATTCAAGTCAGACAGTTTAGATCCATAGCCTGACAATGTGACGCCTCTAAAACTGAAGAAACCATCATTGCACCGCTAGGAAACCCATGGCGTGCTAGCGCTCATCTTCGTTGGATTTCACCAATTGCTGCACATGACTATCTCATACAAGCTTGGAACCACAAATCTTATAAGCATGTGATGCAAGAAAACTCATAAATGTGGGTAGCGTCATTCGAGGCTTTTTCATTTGATTTATCATCGCCATAGGTGACTGATAAGCAATACTCACCACATGTAAACGTCGTCCAACATACAAAATGCTATACATCGTAAAAGTATGATCGTGTTGCACAAAATCATATGCACGCCGCAAAACCTCTCTTGGCAACAAGTATGTTCATCATAAACGCCAGCGAGCCAATCCTTGGTGCATCTAACAAAACAACTGATTCAATCCACAACCGCATTTCATGTACATTCATCATCAACTCGGTCCGAGTGTCACCTAACAATGACACGTTGTTTAGAATGTATGCTCGAAAATGTGCTGTAAGATCGGATGTTATATTTGTGAAGTAGAACTAAAAGTAACCAAGGAGTTAATCATGGTTAGTTTAGTTATGACTAAGTCTAGGTAATTATAACTAAGTTTATCAAGTTATAACTATATTAGCTTTAATGTCTATACTTGGTGGAATAAGAAGAGAAGTTCTAAAAGATTTGAGTGAGAATTTTTATTTTGTTTTGTACAAAAATCTAGATTGCAAAAGAAAATACTTTTGACTTCATGTTTATGTTTGATTTAGTGAAAGTCAGCCCGAGGTTGCAAACCATAGGTTGTATGATTGTAGAGATCAGTTCGTGCTTGTGAGATCTGAATGTGAAAGTTTGCAATCAACACGTGCTCGGTGATCAACAGTCCAAACTTGTGTTGAATCGCTTTTCATGGACGAGGTGTGATACTTCAACATTAAAACAGCTCTCAAAAGTACAAAAGATCTCGATTGGCTAGAACACGCATCCGACGCTATGTACATTTGAAGTTTGATCCCATGAAGTGGTTTGATCATCAAAGATGAGTATTCATCACTTCATCTGCGATCACTGGTCGGATTAGTTCTAGTAGCAAACTAGTGGACCTCCATGTTTGCGTCATTTGGTCCAATATCAGAGAGACTCAAGTTGATGAAAAGCGGGCCAAAAATGCCCATTGGGGACTGCAGTGTGAGTTATAAAAATATGGAGTCTACATTGAGTGACATTTGAGAGCTGTTAAACATCGTTTTAGAACAACTCCATAAATTGAGGAAATACCATAACATTGACAGTAATACTATAACAAGAGATGTACAATCGTTCAATACCTCAACTCTCGTTCAATTTTCTTTACAAGAAAAGCATCAACATCTATTGTAACGAGAGAAATACCAAATTGCGTCTCGAATGATTTGGATCATGAGTTCGGTGGGACAATCTCACGTTTAAAGCTCTGTAGCCAAAGAGGTGATATGTCTTGGTCATACCAATATATGGCACACTTTTTCCTATTGATCATGAGTACTGGGTCCAGTCCAAAGTCTTGAAGAAGATAAAAAACAGCAGTGAGTTTCTTGTGGTTCCAAGGATAGAGCACGTAGTATCATCGACAAACTGTGACATCACTTGTTGAGTAGTACCGTTGGGAGCAAGATTTCTATCATTCTGCCAATTGATACCTTATGGATGAAGGCGATAGTTAATGTTTATGCAACGATAAGTAACAAAGGAAATTGTCTTGAAAAACTCCTTACTGATTTCATCACCAGGTTGTTTCCACTAGATTCTTTACTATGATTTCTTCCTTACTATTTTTTGATCTTGGACAGTCGAAAGGCGCGTGCATATTGCACCACTGCGGTTCATGAGAATAGTATCTTCTGGCGACTGCTTACTTCATCTAGTTGTGCAATTGGATCGTTTTCATCAAATATAATCTTTGAGTTTAATGAGAATGGTATCTTCTGGCGGTTGCTTTCCTCTCTTCGTTACTTCATCTAGTTGTGCAATCGGATCGTTTTCATCAACTATAATCTTTGAGTTTAATGAGAATGGTATCTTCCGGCGGTTGCTTTCCTCTCTTCGTTACTTCATCTAGTTGTGCAATTAGGACGTTTTCATCAACTATAAGCTTTGACGCTTGGGGATGACAGAATTAACGATAGAACTGAAAATTTTTATGGAACTTAGGGAAAAAAAGGTTCAATGTGGGTTAACTTCTAACCAGATCTTTCGAAAAAACTTCCTCCAATTTGTAGATTGCTCAGCTAGCTTTAGCGACGCAATTACTTGGTGGTGGTGGAACTTCCACAAGTTATTCTTGATGATGTAGTGAATGAGGGAAAGCGCCCGATCAATAGATTGAACTCTAAACAATTATAGATTGTCTAGGCGCACAAGTGGGACAATTATGCTGCAAAAAGTTATCATCCCTCGAGTACTTCAAGCTACTTGCCTCTGGGGGCTATCTTCGTATGAAGATAGCTCTCCAGAACATTGAACACAGCTCGTTCTGGGTTGAAAATCTCGATTTATCGATCCAACTCTCCACCATGTTGAAATCACTTAGCAACATCCAACGTCACAGTTGAATGAGGTCTCTTGCCAAGGATTCCCACAGAAGACAATATTCCCATTGTTGCGTCTATATTTGCCAACCGAATTTCTTGACCCGGCATGCTTGTAAGTACAACCCACTCAACTCTGCTATCAAAGAGAGAGCCGGATTGTGTCGCATTTCTCGCCAGTAGTGGATGAAATAATGTCAAAACCCCTCTGCAACCTGCTCCAATATCATGCTCGTCGTGGCCATAGCCAGAGGACGCCTCTAGACCATAACATGACGATCTCCATAATTTCTGTCCTACCTAAATCAGTGCACTGCCCCGAGTTTATGCTCCTGAATGGCTAAGATTTAATATAAGAAGATAACCCCACCCTTACCTCTCCGTGATCAAAATAGGGTTACTACACTCGGCGTCTTTGGCCGATTGAGGACTATTTCCATAAATGTCCGGTTTTCCTTACTGAAAGTCCGATTTCTATCCACAATGATTCGCCCATGGCATGAATTGTTCTTAAATTCAGTGAGACTTAAACGAAAAACGTAATTCGTAGGAGATCAAGAACCCATTAGCGGTGTACCAGCATCCTGTAGTAATTCTGCTATGATCTGAACAATGTACGTTGTAAATGAGTTGTCTGTTCACTGCTTCACTGTTAGTCATCCAGAACCAGTGTCATCCAGTACACCCATTTTACCGTCTACAAGTTGACCGTGCATGTGGAGGTGTAATTGAGGTGCCCCGATGCCTGCATACGATAAATCAAGTAAGTTGCTGCTATTTACCTCTAGTATTAGTCCTTTTCGTTCGGACTCATGAATCCAAGGGATGCAGGAGTTGCCGGTTCCGCCTTTGCAGTGGTCATATCCTTCAAAGTAGACCATCCTTTTCGTTTCCTCTTTGTCCCACCACCAGTGGCTTGGGCTGTTGCGTTAACACTTGCACTTGAAGAAGCTAGAGGTGTTTGGGCAGCAACCATAGGACTAGCAATTGCAGATATTCTTGCTACATTTTCCTTCGACTTTCTCCATTTTTTCGGCGCTTTGGTAACTCGGACGGAGCAATTATCACCACCGTGGAGAATAGATTCACATCTGTCCATGCCCAAGACAAATCACTGATCAGGGCAGAATACTACTAATACGCGAGACAGTTCAACAATCAAAATATTGGACACTGCCCCATCATCTTCGACACCCACGTTACTGAATTCGCCTTAGGATAAGCAAAGGAGAAGTTGAACAGAGCCCAATGTCACAATTACAAGATGGATACAAGAATGAGCGATTAAAGAAGATCAATTTCCTGCGATCACACTAAGTACCGACGATTCAACAGGTATTTGTCTTCACTGGCCCCGACTGAGCCCTTAGTCAGAGAAATTTACACAAGTATAGTTGGTTAAGCTACCACTTGATGCAGGATACAAGTAAGAGAGTGAGATGCAACCCTTACCGCTGGCACAAGGAGTGGGGAGTGGGAGGAGGAATGGACAAGGCCTCAGTTGCAGCAGCCAATCGCTGCCAATAACAGGCACCCAGACTCGGAACCGCAGTACAAGCCCAATTTGCAATTTGGGCCAAGTACTGAACTTTCAGATGGCCTGCATGATTTCCAGAGAACTGGAATGCTTGGCCGGTGGCAGTATACTGCCGAAGTCCTTGAGATGCATGCACGGTGTGCGAAGGACGCTGCTTCAAGACACTCAGTGCAGCCTGGGGCGCTGAAGCTGCTGATGCTGCCGACTGTTCTAGCACAACTGCTGGCAATTTGATGGCTGTATCAGCGGCTGAAGCCTTCCCTCCTAGTGGCGTTATCGACGGCCCGGTGCTGTCCCCTCTCTTGCGTTTACCCTCCCCCATCGTAATCTCTCGCTCAAAGCTCTCACCGTAACTTCAGCCTTCCATAACAAGAAGTCGGGGTGCTACAGCTGCAGCAGAATGAATTTAATTCGCAGGTGCAGTCCTTGCGTCGATGGTTCTCGAGTGGAAAATCATCAGCTTGTAAAGCCCTAAACCCTGGACACTTGCCGTTTTCGCCGATCGGGGTGTGAACTGTTGCGGGTGTAAATGTCCAGGAAGGCTAGTCAAATGATTCCGCTTTGCACAAAGGCTTTCATACGTTTGTCGGAAACATTGTACCTTGTCGAGGTAGTAGTGTTACCATTCTCGGAGCTGAAAGCCTCGAGAACTTTTCTGGAAGATTCGACACTCTCGGCAACATCCTCGAGAGAAGATCCCTGCTCCAGCAATTCATCCTCGAGCTGCGTGAGCTTGAGCTCGATCTGCCTCTTCCGATCGTCCTCCAAAATCTCCTTATTCGCCTTCCGCGACAACCCTCCCTGACCCTGGCCATTTTGAAAGTCCCGCGCCTCCGACTTCAGAGGCCTCGATTTCACGAAAAACTTGTTCGTCTGAATGTACCCATTGGTACCCGATCCTCGAGGCGTCTGGAGCCCTAATCCATTATACATCTTGCCGCCGCGGCTTCGCCGTCTTCCGCAGACCCGAAAACAAAACAGAACAAAAGAAACCTTGGCACGGAACGACGGACCAAGCTACAATCAGGCATCACCGATGCATCACTCTGAGAAAATCCGAAACAAACAATAATTCCTGCATCGAACATGAACAGCGATGCTCAATTTCCAATCAATCGACGAGCTCGAGCCGTGGGGTCGGACACAACCGATACTGGCCACCATCATACGCACCAGCAAAACCTTCAAACCCAATCAATTTCGACCCAAACCCAAACGCACCTCTCGTCGCCCACAATCGAAACTGAGTCGCGGCCTCAAGCGCAACACACCTCTCGCTCCCTCGCTCACCGCTCTATAGGAAGGAGCAACGACGACCGCGCGATTTGGCGAATTGGTCAGCAGCGAGGGCAGCGGCCGAATTGGCGTCCGCCTCCTTTTGCAACTGAAATAATTTTTGTTGTAATCGTGACTAACTAAAGATATTACGTCGACATGAAAAGATGAATGATACAAAATTGAAATCTAACGTTATAATTAAATTTTTATGATAAATTCAGAAAAAAATAGTGAGAATTTGGATATCTTTGATTTGAAAAAAATGTAATGAAGAAATAATATTTTTTTTCATTACATGACTCTAAAAATAATTTATTTTTTCTGTTTATTTATATTTTTACATAATTATAAATGATGTAAATGAGGACTCTAATGACTGTGATTTTGCATTAGAGTCAAATCTTTTATATCTATATTTATTGCAAATCTAAACCACAAATAAACTTGATGTATTAAACATATATAAATATTCGATATAAATATTCAAAATTTTAAAAAATTAGGGTAAACATTAAAGATTATACTTCATTATTACTGGTCGTTCATATACTAAAGTGAAATGGTGAATGTTAATAATATAATATACTGAAAAGAATAAGAAAAATCATCAGTCCCAAAGTAACCACGTTACTATATACAGTGCGTGGTTCTTTTGAATGTAAGAAGAGAAATAGAATAAAAACGCCATTGTTTTCACCAGATTTATTCCAAGGATACTAGGGAAAGGAGGTTGTAAGACAAGACTGAAAGAAGCTCCGAGGGTAAATGAGTATTATAATATACATAATAAATAATAAACAGTTCCAGATACGGTACAGCAGGTGAAGCCGGTCACTGCCGCCGACAGATCACCACCCGAGTACAGAGTACTGATAAACCATAACATCGTGGGACGGAAGGGAGTACAAAAGGGGAGGGGAAACCAGGAGAGATCCGAAGCACCGATTGGTGGAGCGAGCCGGTGAGCATGTTGACCAGCCGAGGCCGCAACGACCGACCAGCCAAAGTACCAGCGACGCCGGGCGCTACACCTGGTGGCGCGCCCGCGAGGATCGTTGGCGGACGTTGGCGGGAGGCGGACGCCAATTCGGCCGCTGCCCTCGTGGCGAGGAGTGGCTGTGGTTCATTCCATGCTGTCGGGGCGCCAGCCCCGCGTCTCTCTCGATGCCACCATTTCTTCGCTTCTTGGCTTCTCCTCGCGCGCTGTCGTCGTTGCTCCTTCCGATCGAGCGAGGGAGCGAGAGGTGTCTGACGTTTGGGGGCGAGGCTCGATTTCGATTGTGGGCGACGAGAGGTGCGTTTGGGTTTGGGTCGACATTGATTGGGGTTGAAGGTTTTGCTGGTGCGTTTGGTGGTGGGCGGTATCGGTTGTCTTCGACCCAACGGCTCGAGCTCGTCGATTGGTTAGAAATTGAGCATTGCTGTTCATGTTCGATGCAGGAATTGATGTTTGTTTCGGATTTTCTTAGAGTGATGCCTCGGTCTGACAGTCGTTTGGTCCGTCGTTCCGTGCCAGGTTTCTTTTGTTTGGAAAGGAATGCGCTCGATGGGAATGCCAGGTATCCAGCTGGAATGAATGAATTTTTAAAACCGGGCCGCACTCGCGTGGGTTCAGGGATGATACGAATTGGACACAAGTGGGACAGCCAGGTGATGGTCATCTGATAGATTATCATCTGAGAGATCAGCTGAAATAAGGAGCGAGTACCATGGCTGTGCTTTCGCAAGTCAGCTTTCTCCCATGCCATGTACGAGCACACAGTTTTGGAGTGAACGCCCAAAATGAGCTGTTTGAATGTGAATCAAAGAGTGGAACGCAGACGAGATTGGGATCATCGATTTTTGGAGTCAAAACGGTGCAAGTAAGCTGTCTTCTCCTCTAATGCAACAGCTGAGTAAGCTCTAGCTTGTCCTGAGGTTCGAACGGATCAATATTGGAAATTGTCGGGTGATATAAATATCGCTTCATATAATGTCACCAAGTCATGGTTTGCATCCAAACAATTTAACTTCAGTTGCACCAGTTGATGAAGTTGGAGTCGCGAAGGCGATGACTGAATTACTGATGTTGTCACCGTTGTTACCGACTCTGCATTTCATATGTGCAGCTTAAGGTAGATCAGTTACGAGTCCGTGGACCAACCCACAGAAACAAGGCCAGCACCACCATGATGACGCTGATTGAAGAGAGACCCTTAATGCCTAAGCTCCAACCGGAGAGAGGAGTGCCGAAGTCACTGGTAATAGATTGCACTTTTAATTTATGAAGTTTATGTGTGAAAATTTTATTGTTATTTCTGCAGAGGTTTAATTTGTTACTCGGATCCCAGGCCGAAAAGAATCACTCATGATTTCATTCATCGGTCATTCATTATTTTTTCTTACCTCGCTTAGATGATAGCAATAAATTTAAGCTCATATCTGGCGTTTCAGGTTCACTTTAGATTTTTGTCCTGATTCTTGTGCATTAATGTGCGTTGTCTTCACAGGCATATGAGTTGGTCCAAGGTCCTCTGGTAAGAACTCGCGATTATGCATTTGACTTTCTTCCAGTTATCCTGCATCGTTCGTGGTTATCGTGACTTGTAAGCTTTGAAAGCATGGTCCACTTGTTACGCGAGTTTCAGATAACCCATAGGTTTTTTTCTGTTAATGGTTTCTTGGTCGTTCTCAAGTTGAAGAATCTCGTATTTCTTGTAGGTGCGGTGGTCCGAGGTGAGGGACAAGTCACATCCTGAAACACCAACCGCCGTTCTGGCTCATGGCATTCTGGGTGGACGTCGCAATTTTTGTGAGTACATGTCCCTTCTATCTAAATTTCCCGACATCGTTCACTTCAGTCGCTTTAACTACTAGAAGACCTGTAGAAACATTTTCTCCTGCTTACTTCATGAGAGCTAATTTCTACCTTTTACCTCCCATGCAGCTTCTTTTGCTCGAAGACTTGCTCAAGAATTCCCAAACTGGCAGGTATGCGTTCTTCCAGATGACCTTGTCGATGCACTGAGTTCAGGCCCGAGCATTGTTCCCTTATGCTACCTGTTCATTTTCTTTGACGTTCAGGCCGTGAGTCGTGACTAATTTTCTTCCATCTGCTTGCGAGTATCAAAGCTGAACGTATATTGTCTTTCACATGACAGTTTTTACTGGTTGATCTCCGTGGTCATGGAGAATCTACAGCTTTGCCCAAAAGGGGACCGCACACAGTAGAAGCTGCAGCGCGGGATGTATTGCAACTGGTAAGCATGTAGTCGGCACTTTTCGTAACGAGTTTTACTTTCATTATTCTTCAGCCTATTTTCTTCGTTCCAATCATTTGGAATTAAATGAAGAAACTGGGCTATGAAACCTGAATATAAAATATAAAAGAGAAGAAACAATGCGTATGGGCCGCGGAAGTCCAAAGAGAAGAAACCTTGTCAGCATTTTGAAGTGTGGCTGGCTGTGATTCATACAAACCTGCAGGTTGGGCAACTGAAGTTGACTCCTCGTATTCTAATTGGACACAGCTTTGGAGGCAAAGGTAAACGCTACTGTTCAACATTTTTTCCTATCTATATTGCTTCAAGTGTAACCGCCATGATTTCTGCCTTTTGAATACTCTATAATACATTCGCCTAGACTTTTCTGTTCAGTTATTCTCCAGTAGGACGGCTACTTAGCATTCCCTTGGGAGAACCTTTACATCTAACTGACCTTGCAACGTTTGCAGTTGTGATGAGTATGGCAGATCAGGCGAAGAAACCTCTTGCGCGACCTGTTCGGGTATGACCTTGGAGGAGTTTGGTCTCGTCTTTTACATTCAAGAATAATGATGATTTAGATGATAGAAACGAAATGAGTGTAGTTAAAACTTCCTCTGCTATGCTATGGTGATGTTGCATGGATTCAGATGGTTCATATTTCAAGTTGTGAGATCCATTTGCTTAGGGTTGACTTGAAAGCTTCACCCAACACTACTTAAATGACGGGAAGTTTTGAGATGTTGGTTTTGCATCGTGACCTGTTTCTGCAGGTTTGGGTCCTAGATGCAACGCCAGGAAAGGTTCGTGCTGGAGGAGATGGTGAAGATCATCCTGCTGAACTTATCGCAGTTCTTCGAGAACTGCCAGCTGTGGTAAATATAGCGACTTAATTAGTCTTTGATTTTCTGTTCGTTGCCTGATCTTCTTTCAATAATCGAACAAACAAAGGCTTCGATAAAATCTACCATGCACCCCCTCGCCGGGCTGAACTATCAAGTTGAGCTTAGGTTTGAAGTATTTTAGAGAATTTGTGGGAGTTGTTAATTTTGACAACGTGTTACTTCCCTTCTCCATGTACATGTAGGTACCTACAAGAAGAACTGTTATAGAGGCCCTGTCAAGTAAGGGATTTTCCCCAAGCATTGCTCAGGTGATTGTTCTGTACTTAAATGCAGGTCTTTTCACGCAGATTTTCCTGTGTTATTAATTCTGAACTAACCTGTGTGACTCAATATCTAGTGGATGACCACCAATCTGCGGCCTGCCGAAGGCTCTGACGGGTTTTCTTGGGTCTTTGACCTTGACACGATCGCGGATATGTATAAATCCTACGAATCTACGAATCTCTGGTACGCAGATTGAAATTTTTTAGTCGTATGGAATTGCTTTGATTCGCATATCTCAAGAATTCATGACTTAAGACGAGCTTGGAAACTGCGAAGAGGTGGTGGATGTGCGGTCAAGCTGATTGCAGGGGTTCTATGTGATGCAGGCCAATGGTTGAGGGTGTTCCAGAGGGAGTGCACATTGACTTCTTAAGAGCTGAGAGGAGTTTACACAGATGGCACCGTGATGATGTGCAGCGCATTCGTCTTGCAGAAAGAATAGCCTCGAGAGAAGGCGCTGGGGTGCAGATGCATATCCTCGAAGATGCCGGTCACTGGGTGAGTACACCCTTTCTCAGAATCATGGTAATTGTTCTTGAACATGAGGTTTCAGTGATCACACACTCATACTTTGAATCCTCGCGTCTTCTGAATGTGACCTGAGTTTGTGACTCCTAAATTATTTGCAGGTTCATACGGATAATCCAGATGGACTGTTCAGAATATTGGCTCCCTCTTTCAATGGATTATACCAATCTGCCCATTAGAAACAGACATAACACGTGCATACTGATATTCAGATCTCTGCCAAATTCTTTTGCTAATTCATAGTACTTCATCAGCAATTTATTCGTGTCTTGAACATTCACTGGAGAAGATTTCAGAGAAACTCATAGACAACGGGACATTTGTAGTCATATTCGATTTGTTGCTCCAGCTGTCCACAATTTGTACCATGTAAACCTCCAGGAGATGATTGGACTTCTGCCGCGCATGCAATTATGGAAGTAAATTGATCGACGTGTATCGTCGAGCTTCATCTCAATCTTCGTGATATAGTGCCTTTATCGAATGCATGACAGCTTTGATATCATGCATCGGATGTACACAAGACCAACGTATTTAAACAAATGGAAGAGCATTATATCCTTTTGTTTCAGCTTTTCATGCAAAATACAATATACTACCACAATTAGCTTTCAAATTGGCTATACATTTCACTGGACTCAATAATTTTGTTGGACTGAAAGAAAACTTGGAGAACATCTTGGTCATGATGAACTGAAGGAAATTTCTTTCAGGAATAATATCGTGCATTGTGTGTAAGTTCATGACAACGAAGAAATCAGGATATATGAGGATGTGATTCATGTCTAAAGACACTAAAAAAAATCGTTGTTGCTTTTTCATCTGGCTAGCTTTGTACTTACGGCATTGAATGTAAGTAAGGAGGAGGTAACTCCGGAGAGTATTGGAGTGTCTGCAGGAATCAATTCATTGGATGCCAGATGAATTCCTCGCATATAGGACGCAAAGAAGTTGATATCAAGAAGGGGATGACTTGGGCACACCCGTTTTTGCTACGGCCCTACCCGTTATATACAACTGATTGCGCGTCAAAGCAGGCCTCACCTCAAACCCAGCTAACCCGAGCTCGACCGCGAGTCAGAGGAGAGCGTAGTTGCCGGCCCCTCCCCTTGAAGCCTCTCTCTGTTGTTCTATTGATCTATTTCGATTGTCATGCCGCTTCAGCCGGCCCCTCGCCCCTTGAAGCCTCTCTCTGTCGTTCTATTGATCTATTTCGATTGTCATGGCGCTTCAACCCATTCGGGGACTTTGATCGAGGCAGGCCACACACGTTTTGGTGTGGCCGTTTTGCTACGGCCACACCAAAACGTGTGTGGCCGTAGCAAAACGGGTGTGGCCTAGTCGTCCCCTATCAAGAATATTCCATGTACCATGGGCAGTAGGAGCCGAACTTTAGAAGGAGCAACCTCTGTTTGAGCTCATGTAGAAGCGCGATGCAGTCATGGCCTCAAAGCTGTCAAACACGGAAAGTGGGGGTTTTACCCGAAGTTTTATTAGGCATCTGCCGCCGTCCATGGGGAAGAACATTGCATACCTGTTACAGGTAAGAGTTGTTCGGGGATGGTATTCTGGGTTACCATTGTTTGTAAGAAGAAAAGCGCGAAGTTTTTTTTGTCTTCTTCAACTTCCTTTACCAGTAATTGATTGTTTGCTCCTCCTTGTTGGTTGATCCTTTCCATTCCTTTCTCTTGGTGGTGAACTTTGGTTTTGATACAATGTTTCAAAGTCTGCACTATGATATTGTGTAGTTGACTGAGTGGGAAATGGTGCGACGAGAGCCTCAGACTTGGAGAGGAAGAAGACAAGAGCATCGGAACGGGGGCCAAGAGTCTGATTAATAAATTCTTCAACTGGGAACGACATGGAGTTATATACTCCGAGAACAGTCGCACCAGGAGTAGCAGCGGTTCAACCTGTAGACACATACAGGGAATTCGAGAGTCAATACGAAGACCTTTATTTTCTGCTGACGCAGAAGATATGAATATATGACGATTCCTGCTCTACCATATGTGACCCGGGTGGGAAGTATAATGTGATACAAGTGGGGTATAAGTACCAACTCGAGGTATAAAATGATTTAATCTCTATCCGAGCAGTTGAGCAGGTTCCTATTTTGAGGGGCTTCAAATAGTGGATAAGGTCTCTACCAGATAATTTCTCTAGAATCCTAATGTGAAGGGAGAATTATCTTCCCAGTTTTTAATAAGAATTGTTTTCCATTTTCCCCCAGAAAAGCTGAGACTCGGAGGCTAGTCTTTGCGGTTAAGAAGATATATTTAAATAAAACAGGAGGAGATATTTTCGGATATTATAATATTTGACACCTTCGGCCTTTTAGTGTAATTCTATTCATCCTGGGCCCTTGCGCTTAGCAAGATGCACACTGAATTAGAACACAGTGTAATGTCAAGTTGATAAATATATTCCCATTCAGTAGAGTTATTGACATGAATCAATATATTATCCAATCCATGTATAATTGGACGAATCAAATTATTTTCGATGCATGAGGTTTCAGCGTATAGATATATGTCTTAGCACATTCAAATGAAAACAGGTGTGAGAACTTCTTTGAAATATGAACGCTGTTTTCACATAGACATATTTCTTAAACTTTCATACAAATTACATATTTTTACCAATGATTATTGACGTACATCAGAGATCCACACAGGAACACTTGCTTCGAATGAGGACTGTGAAATATATAAGATTAAGTTTTGCATCGATTACGTGACTTATTTACTGTAAATAAAGTGAAATGACTATGACTCTATTCATTATTTCCCGAAGTGAATTCGCTCTATAAGTTTTCCGTCTCTCAAGGCCGAGCTGATGTAGAGAACGGGTCAAAGTCTATCGTCCGTTTGTGCTTTCTTGTTCTGTCCGCCCGGGCACTGCCAGTAATGCAGGACAATTCAATAATGATATTTATGGCCTGCAAAGATCTGGCAAGAGGAAAAGAATAAGCAGGGAATCCGCATGGCCTTCAGCAGCTCTTCCAGTGCACGTGCAGTCGTACGCTTTGCCAAGCAGGCAAATTCCCAAAATATCTCAGAGATCTACGACTGCAGGCTAGAACAACCCCGACCGTATGACTGTGGGCCGACGGCATACGGTCACCGTCGCGTCAAGACGGGTGACTTCTTGACGCGACCCTCTGGAATTCAAATTCTACACATGGACACGTGTCTGCGTGTCTTGTTAAAATTTTTGGATCGCTCCTTCGTTAGAGCATCCAAACAAGGAAATTAGAGCTTCTGAGTAGAAAGATTCATGAGTCAACACAGTTCGCGTACAAGTCCAAGTCCGGGTCTTGTTCTCGATGACAGAATAGCTTAATACGATTCACTGTGGGAGTTGAAAGAATTAAAAGAACTGTTTATTAAATAGGATCGATCTCGAGGCTGCAGTAGTATAGTTCCATAAGTTCTTACATATGCCCACGCTGAGATCAGGTAGGGGAAAGTATATCTTAGTACAATTTGAGACATTTAGCTGGCTGAACCTAGGCAATTCCTTGGAATCGGCGTGCCTGGCAAGGTGGTGCAGAATTGGCAGAATGGCAGCAGACCTGTTTCTGGTCGCAAGATTGATGATGTGGTGGGGTTTAAACTGGTGAATAGTCTGAAATCTGAGTACTCAGCATGCTCTCTCTTATTTCAGGTTCTTTCATTTCAGCTTCGCAATTTTAACAAAATCATCGAGTCTGCCATGGACTCCCAGAAAGTCAAAACACAAAATTGTGATGAAGATTCGAGAGAGGTTTTCTGTTTCCACCATGGCACTTCGAGGAAACTTCTTCTTCGGCACTGCCCACTTCAGTAACTTGCAGGAAGTCACCCATCACCACTTACTGCAGCAATTCATCGACACTGATTTGATGTAGACATGGGCACGGATGTGAGGAGGTGGATAATGGGAAATATACACGCTTTATGACAGGGTCGGGACTATTGCGCTTCCCTGAAACTCTTCCGGGTTGACGATCCCGAAAGCCACTGCAGGTAAAAGGTAGACCAGACGGACGAGAAAAACAGCGTGCAAGGTTCAAAGCTGGGAAGGGACGGGGAGAGTAACGGAGACCAGACGTACGAGAAAACAGCATGCAAGGTTCAGTGCTGGGAAGGGACGGGTAGAGAAACGGAGAGCAAGGCTGACATCGAGCTTTTAGAAAGCACTAGGAGATAGAAGGAAACCAAACAAAATTCGAAACCCGCCAGTTCTCTCAAAGCCGCGACGCCAGTAAAAACCCTGGCCCATACAAACGCAACTCTCCTGACAATCGTAACTCAGAATGCAGAAGAATGAAGAAATCATTCGACAAATCGCCACCTCCGAGGTCGCCTGATCCGCCATCGTCAATCCGAAAGTGCGTCACAAGAAATGCTAGACGAGAAGGCAGGCCAGAGTCGTATTGGGTGCGAATCGCGATACCCCGGGTGACGGTGACGGTGACAAACGAACGGTGTACGTATACCGTCAGCCCGGAGACCATACGGTCGGGGTTGTTCTAGCGAGAAGCCTACGAACATCAGGAGAGACGTCAAACGAGGAAAATGCTTGGAGGATGAATTATTACCAGTGGACGGCAAAAGCTGGCGTGTGTGAGAGAGCTTGGACTGGGGACTGGAACTTGGGACTTGGGACTGGCTGGAGTAAGAGCTAGGACCATGCATGCGAGAAAGTCCAGCTTCCATTTTACGGGCTCATCATCTGTTGACCGAAGGTTGGTATGTGGAACGGAGCCGTTTGTCAAATTCGTTGAGGCCTAGGACGACCACCTCTCCACTGACCTGACCAGCACTACGCTGTACGTTGCTTCCTCCTGCTACATCGACGAGTATGAACACAGCGTGAAACCATCCCTCACTTGCCCGCCACTTTGCAGAAATCAGAGCTGGGAAAAAGTGGTACGAGAACTGTAACACTTTGCTGTGCACTTTTGGTTTCCCATAAACTTCAGTAACAACATCATCTGACTGAATCGCTCACTCATTCTCCTGACGCTTCATGATGATGTTTTGTTCCAGTGTTTTCCAGGCTGGACGTGTACAACCGCATGCATCTAAGTGAGCGAGGTTTGTTGCTAAGAAGCTAACGAGCTCCCTATATCCACGACATGCTACATCCGTCTTCGTATTTGGTTTCATGCCCGAGTCTGGGTTTCTTCTGCAGTCAACTCTAGCCAAGCCGTCCAAAAATCCATGGAGGCAGTGAATAAAGTTTGATACCTGTCGTTAGTCTGGTACATGCCCGACTTCTATAAAAAAGAGGTCTTGGAAAGTCATTTCCGTCCTGGATGGACTAGCTCATGTCATGGCCTTGGTGTGGTGACGAAATGGCTGAAATAAAGCCGCTTCGGGAGTAAAGGTCTATCGTCTTCGGAATCCTGAGCAACTGATTTGACAAAAGGCAGTTGACTGACAACGTAAGGTCACTTCAAAAATATTTTTCCGAGACGATTCTTTTTGAGTTTAGTAAGGACGAGAGTCATGAGGTCAACTAAGCGCAAAAGCCAATTCGCTTGAATCACTGAGAGTTCAGAATGTTTGGATTGCCCATGATGCTGAGTTTGACCTAACAGCTTTAAAGCACAGAAACTCCAGGACAAAGGCAAGAGAGAGAGAGAGAGAGATCGTGGTCAACCGTAGCGTAGTGAATATTGTCAGTTGGAACGTCCTCCACACTACAAGTGCAATTTCAGTGGTCTTCCTGATTTTTAAGGAAATTTTTTGTGTTCCAGCTGCAAGAAGAAATCACAAGGAAAAGGCCACGCAAAGTGTTCAAGCACACTAGTCCAGTAGAACTTTGCTGCAAGGAGATCCAACACCTCTAGCTACTTGAAGGAGAACGTCTGGTTTTTGTCCATTGAAAAACTGGCACTCCGTGAAGTTCCGAAGCAAACGACGCCTGTACCACTTTAAAAGATCCTGTCATTGTTGGCAGTTGGTCGTCTCATGATCCTTCATCCAGTTGCCATTCCGAACGAGGAACGAGGAACCATATGACTCCATGGGCAAATACAGTGCGAGTCTGCCGCTTGAGAAGGGACCTCAACTGGTGAAGAACGAAGAAGCAACATGACATTGGGCTGAATGTGCAGGACCGAAACACTACAGCATGAAAGCAGTTTCATCTGGAGGACTTTCAAACTTGTCAAAACTAGCTTCATGTTTCCTTATATAATCTCATCGACATATAAATCGCATGCTGCACAAGGAGAACGCTTGACAAACATTGTCAACTCGGAAGGCCACTAGTAGAACAAAAGTGTGATGATTCTTTTACTGAAGGAAATACAGAAGTTTTACAGAGATTTTTTCGCAAACAGAGCATGTCTACCTAAGACTTTCGAGGAAAGACTAGATATAGAGCGACAGACTCTGAGCAGGATGGAGAATCACTACGTTTCCGCGATATGGAACAAAACCTTCTACTTCTCAGGTCGGAGGGGTCGGGTCGACTTTCAGACCAGCTGAGAATGTATGAGGCCTCCGATAGACATTTTTAAGTCCCGCTGTTTGGTTCAACCACTGTTTTTTGAGGTGTTGAGCGGATTACGATCCTACACATTTCTACACGCCATAGAAATGCTCGACCAAGCAGGGTGGCAAGTTTAGACGGAGCTACTTGAGATCAGTAATTACAGACTAATCTAGCTACGGCGTCCACGAATAAAAGGTCAAGTAATCCCCCTATATACATCGACAGGAGAACACTGGATGACTAGACGTCGACCCTTAGCAGTTACAGAGCAGCCGTGGAAGATGGGTACAGCGTACTAAGATATCATTCTTCTAGTCTCGGACAGCATTTTCACATTTGAGTCGTGCTATCGGCATCTATCAAGCCTTGACTTTCTGAGATGCGACTGTGCTATTCACAGTTTTTTTCTCCTCATCCAGAACCGCAGGAGTCTGTGTCAATTCTGAAGGAAGCTTGGGAATGCCCGTGAGGTAGTATGTGTACAGAAGCTTCAACGGACCAGCGATGTTGTGGCACTTCACGTAACCTCGAGCTCCTTTGAAGATTCCAGTTCCGCCGGTAACAACCATCTCAGTGTCGCCATACGTTTTGTAGGGGCCCTGAAATTGCAATATAAATTTGTCATCGTTAGCATCAATCAATAGGGCATAGATTGTGGTCAAAGCCCTCTACCCTACGCAAGACACTTGGTCGGGCACCCGCACAGAGCAAGACTGTAGCAAAACCACAGAAGCTGAAGGCTCTTGGTCTGATTGTCCGCACAATTGCAGCTTCCAACTTCTCTGTTCTACCGTGACCTCCGTATTTTCGCGAGACGAATCGTTTCACTGACTACTCTACCTCGAGGCTGCCACTTGCATATCAACCGTTTGTGGCTGATGTCCCCATCAAAGGTTTCAAACTTTAAACCACTGCGAATCCGCATGCATTGACAAAGTTTTTACATCCTACACATAATACATCTGCCCGCGTTGACAATGCTGTCATCGTAAACGAAAAGTCAAATAAAGGCGATTTGACTTGAGTAGTCTAATATTGGATATGCATATCTAAAGGAGGGATTTTGGAGCTGAGCTAATCTAGAAGCCGTGCCCAATTTCACGAGCAATACCTGGCAAGAGAGATGGCCGTAGGAACCCATGTAGTGGCTCATCACGGTTTCGTACAGATCGCCTCCACTTTCGTAGTGATGCTCCACCACAGTGCACAATCCGGAGGAGATACCCAAATATTTCTTCCCGGTGCAATCGTATACCTGCATTATTACAACTCAAAACTTCTGTTATTCTCCAACTTGATCGACCGGGAATAGCGGTAGACACACAAACTAATCACGAAGCTTTCGAACAAATGCTGCCTTGTCCGAAATCGCTCAGAAATTCACGGAAGCAGCTACAGCTTCCGATGCTACAGAGGGTTTTGATCGATATCGTACACACCTTGTTGCTGTAGGGTACAAAGTCTCCAATGCACAGAACCGGTAGTTTGGCGTTGTTCTTCACCACAAAGGGACTATTTCTGTCACCCTCGTTGAACTCGAAAACTCCCATCACCTGCTCTTGGTCTGATCATCATGACACGATATGATAATCAGCAACAGGGTTCAAGCTCCGTGAATCGAAAATTTTCACTAAGTAACCGGCTAAACTTGCCTCTTCCCATACAAAGAACGACCGGATAGGCGAGAGCATCGCCCCCCCCTATCCAAGAATTCCAAAGCTACACCTCGATCGAAGTACTAAATGACCTCGGCCTTTCGACAGTTGACAGTACATCCGCCCTGGAGAGCAACGAACCTTCTGGAGCATCCGTGAACAATTTGCCAAGTTTCTCAAAGAAGGATGCGCTGACGATGGGATTGGCCCCAGCCGTGGCAGGAGTCAGATGTTTGGAACTGCCTACATTTCCGAGAGCTCTAGCGGAGCCAAAGAAGTGAGACTTGACAGGGCCCCCAACAGATTGCCTGGAAGCATTGGAACCCTGAGATGAGTTGCAGGGTGGCTGACTCGCCGGGGCGATAAAGCTCAGCCCAGCGGCGGCGGCTTGAATGGAGGCGGCCATGACGACCACTGAATCGACCGAACAATCGACCGATCGAATCAAAACACCCAGTGACTGTCACAGAGTGTGATCTTCGTCGACTATATCGATGAGCGATCGATCACTCTCTGCGACGACTCAACAACTGCCCTCCACTCCGCTGCTCTGGCCTCAAATAGCTCAGATCGGGCTATTCGTCCAATCCACGCACGACCCCGACAGTCTCGCGAGCTCAATTTCAGGACAGACAAACGAGCTAAGACCTCGGAACCACGAACGAGAACAGTAAGTAATCAGACCAAAAATGCACCCCGATGACCACTCGGGTCCTGAGATCGATACGATTGATCGATCCTAGCCTGCTGATGACGACTTATATACTGTGCTCCCGACGCCGCTGACATGTGCTGTGAAATTTCTCGCACTGTGACCCATTGTCGTGTTGGAGACCAGGCCCCACCAGAGCACTGACTCCCGTGCGCCATGGACCCCTCCCTTCCAGGAACCGGGCCCACATTATATTATTGCTCTGCTCCTCCTCCTCCGCCATCGCAGCCCAGGTGCTCGCTCTCGACGGCCCGATTCGACCATAGCGCACGTGCTCATTATCCTCCATCGCCTCCCCGTCCTCGCGAATCTCCGCTTCTCGTTCGACTCCTCCATCACGCGCTCTCTCCCAAATCTCTCGTCCTCTCGCCAATTGCCTCTCTGCCCCCGTCGCCATCGATTCTGCCCATTACAGTACAAAGTTCTTCTCGTCCTCGTTCTCGTTCGCGCACCCCCCATTCTTGATCTTGGCCATTCTTCATTGGCTGCCCCAACGGCACCGGAGCGTGGCGAGAGCGCTAGCACGCAATCGACGGCCGACGCTCGAGCGATCGCGAGGCAGCGCTTCTTCTTTTTCGAAGAAGCGCGCTAATTCCACCGAGGGAAGGACAGCTAGAGATGCTCACGTCTCGGCTAACGGCTAGCCCGCTAACACTTTTTTTTAGCCGGCTAGCCGTCGACTTACCGGGTCATCGGAAAGCTATCCGAGACCGAAAAGACCCGAAACTAATATCGAATCTGTGTTTTCGGCCGACTATTTCGTCCAAATCATCCGAAATTATCCCTTAACTCTTATTTCGGTCGAATATTTCAACCGAATTGCGTATTCCGACGATAGACGATGAGACCCCCGGCTAGCCGGCTAAATTTGAGCCCTAGCCCTTTGTATCGGGTAGCCGGGCAGCCGAAAATTAGCCGGCTGCGTGACCATGCCTAAGGACAGCGCTCCTAAATTAACGACGGCCCGCGTGGCGGCGACCGGGTCGTGGTCTCGCCTCGGTCCGGAAGTCGCCGTGAACGTGACCGGACGACTTACGGACTGACTGTACTGTCCTGTCCCGTCCCGTACCGAATGCGGAAGCGTCAAAAACGACGAACTGTCATCGACGAAGTTTTTATCTTTCCGTCGCTCTCTCGGACTGAGCATACAATGTTGGAGACATTTTTTTGAACCATATGCGACGAGTATGCCTTCGGGAATAGGTTTGCGGCGCTAGGACAGCGCCGGAAGTGATGAGATGGAAATGTTTGACCATGATTAATTATTATGTACTCGGAACATCCTTTCTTTGACGTGTGCGTTGTGAATAAAACCCGATGCAGCCGGAAGGCCGAGAGGCCATATGCCAGATTTTATACAGTATATGCACGTTTCAGGGTACCCTAAACCTTAAATGCTGGACTTTAGATGGAATATAATCGGAGAGGAAAATGGAGTGGGTTGGAGAACACCAAAGAAAAGGGAACAAAGAATTTATGCCTAAGACTCATGTGGTTATCTTCTATAATACACTAGAGAACGAAAAATTCCTTCATGCTTATCCCGAGACTATCTTCAGTGAGCAGGAAAGTAACAAGAATATAAATATCTTATTATTTTACATTAAATTTGTGTACATTAAAGTCAAGCATTATTTTCTATTTTTTTCTAATTTTATATTATTTCTAATATTCTATTCACTCTAATATTCTTATGTTTTTTTCAAGTATTTCAAAATATTATGATTGAAAATGATATGTTTAAAATATATTATATATGAAGAGTTAACTTTATCTTGGTTCATTAAGCTAGTTAGTCTATCACTATATAGTAGAGATGATGCAAATTCTGGATAACACAAACTTAGGGATTTTTCTAAGTAAACATTTTTGTTCCCGTGGATATATACTCACCGATTTGAATCAGGTATTTTCTCTATGACTTTACGTTATGTTTAATTGATGAATATCTAACATCATGTATTCCAATTTCCTAAAATATCTTGACATATTTACTAAAGTAATAAATTATAATGTAATTAATTATTAGCAGATCATGAAATATGATTCAAAGTATTTCGTCACAAGCTTCTTGCATGACTTCAAATATCTAACCTCATGAACACGTTAGGTAGCAGCGGTTTCTTATCTTTCGAAACGCTCCCAGCAATAAAGTTTTTTGTATCCAATTTTTCTTGCGAACAACTGGGAGAGACTGGAATGTAAGTAACGCGACATAACGCGACACCCAACGGATTATAAATGGTAACATTTCTGACAACTTGGAAGTGTTATAAAGTGAAGGGGCATGAGCCATCTAGCAGGTGACTGAAGGGATGCCTTTCTGATATAGAAAATATCAGAGAGGTTCTCTTTCGATGACGCACAATGATAACCGAAGGCCCAATTGCCGGACTGCTGATTCGTTCCAGATTTTATATAATACAAAAGATTGCATCATCGGCCATAAATGGGGTCCATCATCTCAGATGATGGATGATTCATCTGTCTGTACATGCATTCATACTCGTGAGGCTATGCATGTATCGTTTAAAAGTATTTCCTTCGATTGTTTGCTTTGTTGTTCTCGTGTATGGAACTTACGGATCGAACAGCTTTAAATATTTATTTTACCTAAGTGATGTTTTCAGATATGGGTTATATGTGTGATGATAAGTCAACTCAGATAGAGTTGACTTGGGGGACAAGTTCAGTTGCAAATTATAATGTCGTATTTTTCAACAAAGGGTCACAGGGGAAGGGAAACACAAGGAATATTAAAAGGACAGAAAACCATCAGAAAATACAAAGAGTAAAGTCAGATAGAGCCCACTCATAATATAAGCCACAGAGTGAAGGAATAGATCACGTGAACTAGTCAAAGACTTATATCTTGCATAATCTTGATTTTAGAGAATTCAAATTGCATGACTGTAAGTATGTATTTATTTATTTATTTATTGAAAGCCTCCGACTAACAAGACTAATATGCAAGATAATGCACTGTGATGCAACCGTTGATATTGTGGTGATGCAACGATGTACCTTTGTATTGCCATGGATTCGTTGTGCATTAAAGATATGAAAGCAAGAGTTCCCAAGAGCGCTGGCAATTAAAATGACATAGAGATCATAGGATGACGGAGGAGCGAGGCCAAATGAGTACAAATGAACATGGCTTTATTCGCTTCCGAGATTTACGCCAAAGTTGCTATATAACTCTAACTCCCTCAACCCACAGCAACGGTTCCACTGATCTTTGACAGTAAATCCAAATAGTGTATTTTCCTTTTAGGACACACCTCGATGCAAATAATATTATTTTTTTAATGAATTTCAGCCATAGTAGGTAGGTACTTTATCTAAGTGTCTCTCAGATATATCCATCATTTAACTTCTGGAATTACGTAGGATTTTTTAGGAATGAATCCAGGTACTGATAACAAGAATCTATTTAACTATGCTTAGTCATACTAGGAAAGAATTTTTGTATAAGGCATCAAAAAAAATGTCTATGAAATAATTAGAGTTCTCAGGTTGAAATAACATTGTATATTCCACTGAATATAACGATGTAATTTCTATGTCGATTCGGTTCAAATCACTTATCATCACACACTACACAAACATGCTACATTCTAGCGTTATCATACGAGTGTCTAGAAAAAGTTGAAATAATGTACGTAGAATTTCGAGCATTAAGAATGGGAAGGAGGCTAGATTTGTCGAGAAAAGCAATATCAGTCGTCAAGTGGGGCACGGGAGCCAGGAACAGGTTGGGGAATGTGCAACTTGCACAGTCCCCAACCTGAATATATATAACCTGAATATACCACTATGAATTTACGTCAAGTAGCCAGTTAATTTTTTGCTAGCCGGCTAGGGACTCAAATTTAGCCGACTAGTAGTGGACTTATCGGCCGAAAACGCATTTCGGCTAATATTTTGTCGACATAACTATGATTTCGGCCGAAATAATCGGCCGAAAACCCAGAGTCGGTCCGAGTTTTCGGATCTTTTCAGCCTCCGGATAGCGTTCTGGGGACCCCGGTGAGTCGACGGCTGTATAACCGGCTAGCCTAGTAACAAAGAATATTAGCGTGCTAGCCGTTAGCCGAGCCGTGAGCATCCCTACGCAACTGGATGCACGGTGCCGACATTTGTCGTGTGCCGCTAGACTTGGTGGCGAGGTCGGCAGCCTAGCGCTGCGACAGAGTAAGACTGAGTCTGAGGAAGGTGGCGCTCTCGAATCTCTGTGCAGGATGCGCATCATTTATCATCACACCATTCCAATTTCGCACATGCGAATTGGCTTCCCCTTTTTCCCGGCGTGCGGTCACGAGGCCCCTTCGCACCAGCCAATCATTGATCTCATCATCGAATTTGTATGTATATAAAATCACACCGATTTTCCGTAGCCGATCTGCAAATGATTCGCAGTTTCGGACGTTGATTCCATGCACTTCTTTCGAGTCCAGGTTCATGAGTTTGTTCCGCCGATGTGCATGAGATACACATTGCTAGGTTCGGATCATAGTTGGATAAAATCACATGAGTTGTAGCAAATGATCATGTCCAAATTCATGTGGAATGAACAGCGTAAAGGCACTTGATTGGGAGAATGGTATAGCACAGTAGGCGAATTTGAAGAAGTCACTCATTTCTACTGTCATCAGAGCAAAATTTTGTTGCAATTCCCCATCGGATGGTTCAAATTTTTATTTTTAGTATCTTTGACACATATAACTTAACTTCTGCATATAGTTTTCAAATTTTGTTTCAAACTTTATTCAATATCTACTAATGTCCACTAGAACTTAGATAAAATGCAAGGAATCAATAACTCAAAGCTATACATTTTTTATCTATTAGTTAGGAGTTGTATGCTCTCTAATAAGGTAATCGCAATCAAACATACATATCACGTACAATACACTTTTGATATAGTTTTGAGACCATTGATGTCTTTTATTTTGTGTTCTCATATTTTCAATAAGATCTCAATAAGAAATTTATTTCAAAATTTATTGTACAGAG